GGACGTTTGATTATCTTAACATACAATACTATAAATCATAAGAGATACCTATTACAAATCTTTATCTTTTTCTTATTTCTATATATGCATATATATGTGTGTAAGTAGAAAAGAGAGAAAATATATCCGGCGCGTGTCATCCACATTGTTTTGATCGATTTATTTTCAACTTGAGTCAGTACCATCCTTTAAAAACAACATTTGTGATTAAGTTGTCCATAAATATCCATTATTAAATATAAACATTTCAAGTGTCTTGAACAATAATCATTTGTGTGTAAAAACCATTAGATTATGATAATTTTTTCAATAGGAAAATAGAATTTTATTCTATTTTTATTTAATTAACTTTTACATGAATTATAAATAATTGGGTATGTATGATTTTGTAATTGTTCATCGCGACAAATTGAATAAAATTTTCAACCCTATTTATCTACCACAATGTTAACAATTATTATTTTAAATTTTATATACATTTTCCAATTATTTTATCAAAATATCATCTATTTGGTTATAAATATTTTAATGATATGTATAAACCAAATAGTTGAGGTATACAAGAATGATTTTAACGAAATTTGTATACGTAAAAATGTATTATTAGTAATTTCAAACAATTAACCTGCTTAAAGTTTAAAACAAGTATACCTATTACCTAAAATTTGTAATATATTTATAATACGTGACAATCATCGTGAAATAATACAAAATCAAAGTTTTTTTTATATAGTTCAAAGCTTCTCAGCAAGCACAAACTTACTATAATACAAAAGAAAAAGCAGAAACTTTTTGTGCTAATATAAAGTCCAGAAAACGCAATCCTCTAGGACTAGAACAGATGTCGAGAACACTCAAGCTAGGTCATATTAAGTCGATCTATCATCAATCGAACGATAAAATATCTACTTAACGATTTAAGATGTTCTCCAATACGAATACATAAGCCGAATAGATAAGTAAAAGTATTAGAAATCTTGTTGAACCGTTGCAGGTGTTACACAGTGACTCATGAAAATACTATTTGAAATGTATCTTTCCTAGTTTCCACCTTACCATCTATATAACTCCGATAAAAATATTTTCCGTAGTTGATTATATAGTATACATATTAAATATACAGAATATATCTATATAAATATTTACATACAGTAGGACCTTGATTCACTAAATACATGATCGAAAGAGAAACGATATAAATCGAAAAAAATGGAAATACGACAGATAATCAAGACTAAGGTAAAATTATTTAATAAACTAATATTGATTTTTTTCTTGTATTTTTCTTCCATTGGTAAAACGATTTTTGGGACACTCTGTATGCATAGATATGTAGAGTTGTGTATATAACTAATAACGGAAAATGCTGTTATCGTGTAATGCTTAATATATATATATATATATATATACATATATAAGAAATATGTATATACCTATGTATATATATGAGACGTCGTTAAAAGAGTGAAAGGAAGATTATTATGAGACAACGCGCTATACGTTCATAGAATGATGCGCGATGGAATGTTAACGCGTGCGCCGGTAGAACTCTTAGATGTTAGACGCACTAATGCGCTACGAAGGACGCCTTTATTAGAAGCTGCAGGAACTAGAAAGAAAAAAATCTTCATTGCCGCGTTACTTGTGAATATAAGCTCATTTTGTTCCTTTCATGTGATTTTACGAATAAATGCTTCATATTTGAAGAGAAAATTTATTTCTTTTTTTTAAACATTTTTTCTCATTAAAATAACAATTTTTTTAATAATCGTTTAATCGCTATAAATCGCTTTTAGAAATAGCAATGAAAAAAAAAGTTATTATAACAGAACAAAGTTCTATTAAAATGAGGAAGAAGAAGAAAATAAAAATATATTGATAAGAAGCATACGTACGAATATTTATATACAAATGAATAATATATGAATTGTATACAAATTTATATATTTATGTATGCATATACGTATCTCTCTCTCACACATTTATGTATTATAATACGTGTTATATTTATGTATAATTAGTAGACATAAAATAATTGGCATACCTGTTAAGATTACTCTCGAATTAATAATAATAAAATTAAAAATCTGTATATATATATATATTTCGGATATAAAAGAATATATAATATANATAATATAATAAATATATAATTCGGAAATAAAAGAATAAAAGTTTATGCATATAAAAATATGTAGCTTGATTATTAATTATTATGATTGAAAAATTGAAAGCATTAAATATAATCAATGAAAAATAATAAGCCTACTTTTTTAAAACTTAACTTTTTCTTATACGAAACAACCATTACAGAAAACTATAAACTATTATATTGAATAGAAGTAATTAATGTGCTCGTTTGTGTATTTACCATTGATTTCTTGGCAGTTTTCCATCGATCGTTCTCTTTTTACATGTTTACGTACTGTCTGTTCCCGCTATTCAAAAATACTCGCTCGGTTGCCGTACTAAAAGCTTAAACTGCATGTTGATAGGGGGCACCGGTTTACGCGACAAAAAATGATATATAATTGATCATGTAAACAATATACATTGTTTTTAGCTTTTTGTTCATTTATATTACTTTAATGAAATCAGATTATTCTTTGTAAATTCTTTTAATCATTATAACAAAATAACTTAATATAATAAAATAAAAACTTTATTTGTCTGTGAGTTCGCGTTTTAAAAACACCCTATTAAAATATAATGTTGGAATAGAATTTAATTGGCTTATTTAAAATGACTACTTCCTTTTTGGACGCTGATTGGTCCATTCATTGTATACATTCACTTCAAAAATTGGACATATTATTATTGATTATAGATATTAATAAAATTAGTTTAATTGTTGAAATTTATTAATATAAATGATTTCCGATAACAAAATTGTTTATAATTAAGTAAATTATATAAAATGTTTTAAAGTCCAAACTTATTCCTTGAAACAACGACACCACCTACAGAAGTAAAAGAGAAACAGTAAGATGACATGTTATATGAGTTCAGTATATGCTTAAACATGGCGCTTGCAGAAGTTTGTGGTCTTAATTCTTACATAGATTTTAATTTTTCGCAAGAAAAAGATAAATTGCCAGGTGAAATCGAGAGATACACAAGAAACTTTATAAATAATGTTCAATTAGCAGTACCACCATATATAAATGTAAGTATCGATTTATCAATTACTACACTTATGTGAATATGTGTCTGAAATTTTGCTAAATCATGTAGAAAAGTTTTATAGAATTTGCTGTTTTAATTATTCCGTATACATTATTTTCAGCCTGCTGAAAATCTTGCCAGAATTTCTTCAAGTACCGATGGAACTGGAAAACATTTAAAAATTAAATTTGATCATGGAACAACTACGTTGGGCTTTGAATACCAAGGTGGTATCATATTGGCTGTTGACTCCCGTGCTACAGGAGGCCAATTTATTGGTAATGATCAATTTCCTAATCAAAATTATTCATTTAAAAACAGTGTACATTGACTACAAGTGTATGTCTTTATAGGTTCACAAACGATGAAGAAGATTGTTGAGATTAATGATTATCATCTTGGTACTTTGGCTGGTGGTGCTGCAGATTGTGTTTATTGGGATCGTGTTTTAGCTAAACAATGTCGTATGTATGAATTAAGAAATAGAGAGCGTATTTCAATTGCAGCTGCAAGCAAACTATTGTCGAATATGATATATAATTACAAAGGGATGGGTTTGAGCATGGGTAAGTTATTTAAAAAACTATTTTTGATTTTAAATATACATTCATAACATTTTAATTTGTAAATATAATATTTCTATAGGTATGATGCTTGCGGGTTGGGATAAGCGTGGACCTGGAATGTATTATATTGATTCCGAAGGTACTCGAACACCAGGAAAAGTATTCAGCGTAGGTTCTGGCTCCATCTTTGCCTTTGGTGTATTAGATTCTGGTTATCGTTGGGACCTAACTGACACAGAAGCTTATGAATTGGGAAGAAGAGCAATCTATCATGCTACTCATAGAGATGCATATTCTGGTGGTATAGTAAGAGGTAAGTATCAATTATTTTATATTTAAATATTTAAAATACTAACTTAATTCTACTCTTGCAGTATATCACATGAAATCAACTGGTTGGGTACACATTTCTGATGAAGATTGCAAAGATTTACATTATATGTATCAAGATCAAAAGCTAGCAGGAAGCAGCAAGTAATCAATCTTTAACGTACTGTATTTTTTCTCCCCATTCTTTACTTAATAAAATATTGTTCTTAGGAATATTTTCACCAAAATCTTTCAAATTGAGGTGCGTCACGATTTGTGTTCCTTATATGTATATATACTTCTATTACGTATATATATATATACACCTATTACATAAGATGAATTAATATTTAATTATTAACCTTGACATATTACAGGACACAAAATTTCTGACCTTATATGTATAGATAAAAAACAATAATAATATTAATTCAATGCATTTCAAAGAAAATTTGAATGAAAAAAAAACTACATTTAACATAAGATCCAAATAACATATAAAAATTTGTTGAACAAAAGAAAATATTATAGTCACGTTTTATACTCTTACATTTCTATATTATTTTTGTCTTTTTTATTCTCCATTTTACGGGTTGAGCCACTTCTCTACTACGTTCTCACATTTATTCAACACTTCCAAAGAGGTTGTTTTTTTACCACCTCTCTGAAGCAACAACATACGGTTTTTAGTTTTTCGAACGGATTAACTATTTATGTTACTAATCATGTCTATGTTGCTTGACTTTAGTGATACGCTAAGAAATAGTAATTCAATGTGACTAAGCCGTTGACAGCACTTCCATTATTAAACATAATATTAATTTATCAATACAATTCACTCTCTCGAGTAATAAAAGTGAATATTATAATACGTTTGTTTTAACGTCGCATAATCTATAGAATTCAAAAATGGCGCTATTTTCTGTACTCCCCACCATCGAAATAAGCAGCAATGTTCGTATATGTTGACGTCGACCACCGCAAAGCGTAGTACGGCGTGATCTGTGTCATTACAACGTTCGGTTAGCATATTGTACTTTTGTTAAAAAAGAATATCTTTTGTATTTGAGTCTACATACCGACACGAGACATGTCGAGTACAGAGGAATGTAAATTAAAAGCCGGTCATCCTCCAGCAGGTTAGTTTAACTTTAATCTTTCATTACTTAGCTCATTAAAAAGGGTTGAACAATGTTTACAAGTACTGTATGCAACATCAATGACGTTGTAATACATCTTACATCAGGTATCAAGGCCATACAATTTCAAATAACAATAAAACATTACTTTTTATTTTCAAATCATTGTTCGTTTTAGTGAAAGCAGGAGGAATGAGGATTACTCAACATAAAACACCAAAAGAGGATCGAGACGTGAAGCCAAGCAAGGACGTAGATGAGAGCAAGCCTTCGAGCAGGTAACTAAAATACGTCGTATTTGAATTTATATATTTTTAGATAATCATACGCGTTATTTCCATCCGATTAAGTTGCAAATTATTATAACGATTCAAGTTAGAACAAATTCTGTGAAATTGATTTTTGATTAAACCCAAATCGAACTAGACATATTTTTTAAAAGAATTTCTAAAGTAGTAGAGGATACTCTGTGGTTACCGGTTGAATAGGAAGGGAAAAGGGAAAGAAAGAAAGAGAGAGGATATTCAAGATAGTTGCTAGTAGTAGGTGATAATTTCGTTTTTAAACGTATATACGCGTACTATGTATATACGAGGTACGATATCTTTCGAGAGGCGTGATAAACAATTCCAACACTTTTTTTCCGTGTATTTGTATTCAACAAGAAGAAGATTGCGCAATCAAACGTAAATGCACCTAATGGCCTTGCAGTTACTTACTTTTATTACGATTTAACAATTTTTATATCGAATTTGTCAAATTTATAATGATTTATATATATTCAATTAATATTTTTAATATACATTAAATTTTCCGATAAGAAGTTTGTGCCGATTTAAAAAGAAAACAAATGTATATATTATAAATTAAAAATACAAATCAGCATGAACTGTTTTTTGGCCAATTCAATATTATTTTTATCGTTACCGATATTGCTATATTTAAGTCGTGACGTTAATGCTTAAAGATTAGCATGTTTAACGTGATCTTTATCAAGAATATTATCGTATAACGATTGAAAAAAATTAATATTTCTTTTTTTTTTTTTTATTCATCTTTTACCATTTATTTACAGTCCGCCAAAAACTATGATGATCAGTGGTGTACCCGCGAAAGGAAACGCCGATTTTCCACCGGAAGCTGTGCAACATTTTCACGAAAAACCTACGCCGACGCATGACGCTCGGCCGGCTCACTGTTCGCGTCCAATTATCATTCAGCAACCAAGGAAGTAAAATTTGAGCGCGAAACGCGTCGTCACTGTTTGGGGAACCATAGAGCGCATTTCTACGGCCCAAATATTTTATATAAACGACGATATCTCGAGAATTCTCGCACGAATTACATTCATGCATTTACATATACATTCGTTGGAAATCTTTGAAAAACATAAAAATATTAAAAAAAAAAAAACAAACAAAACAAAAAATACTACTCGTTATAAGCAAATATTACTGCTTGTTTCGCGTTGATATCTTTTAATTGTAAGTCTTCAAAAGAAATAAAAGATATATAAAAAAAAATATANTATATATATATATATATATATTATAATAATAATAATATTAAATACAGTTAAGATATCGTCATGTTATCATAACTTTTAAGTGTATATGTTGAGGAAGATTCGAATAATATTAAGAGACAGTTTTTGTGTATAACTCTTGACAAGGGAAATAAAATTTACGCAGGGATTTTTTCTTTCAAACCGGATAACTTTTTTTATTATGTATGTATGCATTTATGTATAAGACGCGTGATTAATCGCGCTTTTGAAAAATGTTTAATACTTTTTACCTTTCACCAATCCTTGAATTTAGATCGCATAAAGCGTGTACTTCGAAAAAATCGATTATATTATTCTCATATCTCACTTTTATCTAATTGTAAGTGTTAATAACATATTTACTCTCCTTGATTCTATGAAATTATTGATTACATATCGATCACTTAGCATATAACGAATAAAGTTATTCTATAAACATATCTAACATAATGATAAATTTTTAAATTTAATGCTAACATGTGAAGCAATATTATATTTTTCATATTTTTCTCTAAATAATAAAGGTCAGGATAAAAAAAATGTTAATTTAGAAAAATATCATGCTACTCGAGCAAATATTGATATTTATCGTTATCTGAGAATTTTAGTTATAAAAATGATTAAAATATGAATATCTCGTTTAATGAAAGGCTTTATGTAATCGATAATTATGATACTCGCGGTTAAATTAAAAACATTAATCTTATAAATATATTTTATAATACAAGTAATTGTAATATCAAGTTTTTCTACTTTTTTTATTTTCAATTAATCTACTGTCATAATTACCGGGACGTTTATATATGTATTCATGTATATATACTTAGAGCTTCAGTAGATTATGCACGTTGCTTTTCTTCTCGCAAAAGTAAACATTACAATATTACTTTCCTTTCAAACTCCGTAGGTCTAAGTTTGTAATCGCAGCTGGCAAACATATGTATTTGGCAGTGTTTCTCAATGAAAAATTGTCTATATCACCGTCTTCTCATCTCGTAACTTCACACCCGAAGTATAAATTTCTTCATTCGATAAATTCAAAAGTTAAACTTTCAATTATTAATTAATCGCGTATAACACACCAAACTAATTCTCTTTTATTATCAATTTTCCAACTATTAATTTACTAAATTAATTATTGTAATACTTATTAAACAATGATTTTTAGACATTTTTATACAATTTTATCTTATATAAAAAATAAAAATATTCACGCGTAATAAGTATTACAATAATTCAACTGTAATAATATATTTATCAACACTAATTTTCATATTATTTATTTCCTATAGAAAAATAAAAAAGGTAATTAATCGAAACTCCTTTCTTTCATTAAACATGACTAATCACAAAGATTACTTCAAATAATTATCATTTCGATAATATACGAAATGAGAAAAATATTCATGTTCGTCGTCGTTCCCGTTACACATATTAACTTGTACACATACACAAATAATCCCTACCCTTGTGTATATCGTATGAGTTCGTTCAAGCGATATCGTTGATAGGCGTGGGTGGCACCAAACACATCGTCGTGGTAACCGTCATGTATTCTACAAAACATAAGCACATTGACGTGTACAAAGAGGTTGAATGAACAAATTGTCGGACTAGATCATACTTACTGGATCTTCCTTTCCCAATGTGTAATAACAAGACATGAATGCGGCGCGTACCGCAAGCGCCGTTTACACCTGAAATCCCTCGTGTAAGAGTTTAAACTCGGAAAAGTCTCTGATTGACAAGAAAATATCAACATAGAGACGAGTAAAAGTAAGAGAGACAACGATAACGAAGACAACTGCAACGTCCAAAAAGAAGTACGATGTCTGCCAAGAAAAACACCACGAAGGTTTCCGAAATCGACGCTCACGTCAGCAATCAGTACGACATCATTCGACGTCTCGGCAAAGGGGTGACTCATCCTACTTCTTAGTGTTATATTCTTTTTATTATTATTTCTTCATGTGATTCTCTCTCTCTTCGAAATTATACATTTTTTTATTTTTTTTTATTTTCATATTTTATATATCTACCAATAATTACAATAGTCGACAAGCACAAAAAAATGAAAAAAAAAAAAATATTACTTAAGATTATTCATAGTAGAAAATAAATTGTTAAATAAAATTTTTTCAATTTTTCCTATGAATAATTAACGGCACATATCTAATAATCATTAAAAATGCGAATATAATTATATTTGCAAATTTATTTTATTTGTTTTCTTTTTCTATTCCAATATTTTATTTATTTGATTTTTTTTTTATATATATTACGAATATTATACTTATAAATGTTAAATTCTTTGCATTCTCATATCGTCATGTTTTCTTTTTCTTCTTCTTTTTCTTTATTGAAAAATATTTGACAATTTTTTGATTCACCGAATTCACATTTTTTATCAATTGAATTTACTCTTATATTAATTATGCACAAGAGAATGAAACAAACAAAGCACGTGTATAACCGATGCTCAGAGTTAGAGGTCACTTTCATCACTTCCTGTATGTTAAACTTATCGGTTAATAAGTACGGTATTACTTCATTTGTTTTCTTTTCTTTAATTAACCAGAAAATCCTTTCGTTAGTGTATACATTACATTTTTAACTAGAAAATAAATTAAACAGGTTAGAATAAAATTTGTATATTTCTTTGCTTTGCTTTGTATCAAAGTAAATTCATAAGCAAGTTATGAAAATTCATTTTACATTATACCTTTCTGTTCTGTTATTTTATTTATTTTTCATATCGTGTAAAAAAACGCTTGTAACATCTCTGGCCGCGTATATTATATAATTTAATTTGTTTCTCTCAAGACAAAGGAAACAACATGAAAAGAATTTAATTAATTGTTATAATATTAATCATTATTTAACTTTATGTAAGATATATGAAATGTAAATGAAAGATGATATAGTAGGATCAATAATCGCATAGAAAATGTAAACTTGGAGACAATCGATATGAAAACAGTTTGGAGCCATCGCCATCAGCGTCGCAACGAAAATAAAACGACTATTCGTCATTCGTTTTTAACTATGCATACATATATAATAAGAACTTACCGACCTAACTCGATAAATATAAAATCAATTTCTGTCATCATAAGAGAAATACTGCTGTTAAACGTTTATCGATCAATAGAGTCTACAAGCAAATAACTTCTCTTGACATGACATTGAAAATAATTATGTTGACCTTATATAATAAAGAATATAAGAAAGAAAAAGAAAAAGAAAAAAAAAAGATAATAAGGTAATTAACGACCAACGTCGTATACTCGTCCGTTCATCTCTAATTTATTAAACTCTTCACTTTTATATTAAAAGTAAACTTATCGTGTCATAAAAGTTTTTTATTAATGATATAAACAAACATGTTCAGCCGAAAAAACTTTAAATTAGGTTGTGTAAATAAGAATGCACACTTAAAGTAATTATTATTAAATGAAATTGAATAATATTAATATTATTATAGTACTTTAGTAATTTGAAAATTAGAAAAAAATATATACAATTCTAACAATACTATACTAATGCAGATCAATAAGGAAAAAAATAAAGAGATAAATGTGGGTCAAGGGAAAGTAATGTCCTTCGTTTAATAGGATTAGTCGTTGAGTTAAACACGTCGATTTAAAAGAAAAGTCATATATCGTTCCACTTCCGATATTCTTATTCGACCTTGTGTGTACCACTTGATACACACGTATTAAATATTTCCTTTTATACTTTTCATGACATTAATTCTTATAAAAAAAGATAAGACTATATTAATCTATATGATAATTAGCTTTCGATTAATCAATAATATTACGATTAGAAATTATCAAAATAAATTGTAATTTTATTTTGCATAGGTGAAGATAGATACAATACACACAGATAGATAAAATTTTTTTTAATTCTACAAGAGAGGAAAAATAATGATTAAATATTATTAAATTTATTTTTAATTATATTATTCATAATTTTACTAAAAAAAAATCAAATTAAAATTCATTGAATTTTTCTTAGACATTAATAAAATTAAAAATTAAAATATTTCTTGTGAAAAATATGTAGTTTTTAATTGTATATATATAAAAATATTTATGGTACTTATACGAGGAATGAAAAAAGAAAAAACATATATAAAAAAAGGAATATTTTAACAGGCATACGGCATAGTATGGAAGGCAATAGAAAAGAAAACGAAGGAAACGGTTGCAGTGAAGAAGATCTTCGATGCATTTAGAAATCAAACTGACGCGCAGCGTACATTCCGTGAAATAATGTTTCTACTATCATTTTCCAATCACGAAAACATCGTCAGACTGATAGGCTTACATAAAGCGGACAACGATTGGGACATTTATCTCGTATTCGAATACATGGGTGAGTTTTCCCGGTCCGAAGAAGAATTCAAAAAGGTCACATGCGTCGTTTCTCAGACTTTTGGCCTGAAACACGTTTCGGCCCGTTTCCTCAGAAACCGATCTTCACAACGTCATTAAGAAGGGCAACATCCTCAAGGACATCCATAAGGTCTTCATCATGTATCAATTGTTCAAGGCCATCAAGTATATACACTCTGGTAACGTCATTCACAGAGACTTGAAAGTTAGTATTTCAATTTATTCCAATACAAATAAAAATATTGAATTGCCCGGAAAATTCGTATTTTAAAAAATATATATATATATAATTAATATAATAATAATAATAATATATACAAAAATTATAAATAAATTTATTGAAAATAATATAACTGAACTGTTTAAAAATCAGCACGAAATTTCTGGGAAACTTAATAATATTTATTGCCGAAAAATATTTTAATGGAAAATATAAATGATTCATTGTGAACGAAATTTAACAGCCATCTAATGTTTTGCTGAACGCTCAATGCCATTGCAAGATAGCTGACTTTGGCCTAGCACGATCTGTGACACATATCGGTGAAGGTGACGGCGAGACCGGAAGCGATCCAACTTTGACCGATTACGTCGCTACAAGATGGTATCGTGCCCCAGAAATATTGATTGCCTCAAAAAGGTATATTCCATGCATATCTCGATTACATGTAACATCATTTCTTCATAATTATCGATCGATTTATTGGATTTAATCCTTTTACACTTGGCCCCTTTTTATGTCGAATTCTAATTAATTAAACTAGGTAAATAAAGTACAACACAATTGGTCGAAAAAATAATTATTTTTTATTCTCATTCAATATTTTTAGGAAAACCACGTATGTATTCATTTTTATTATAATGATTAAAAACAATCAATGTTTGTCATTAATGTTAATAATTAAAATACAAAGGATTAAGATCAAATGTGTTAAAATATTTCATCATTATTAAAAACAATATAGAACAAAAAAATATTAAATTTTTACATCATACAAATAAAAATCGAAATAAATATTTCATATTTAAATTCAAATAATTAAATATAGATACTAATTGAGAGATAAAAAAAAAAAAAGAGTAAATCCAGTAAAAGAAAGAAATAATTAACAGTAATAATAAAAATATCGAATTGTTTCTTTTAAGGTACACAAAAGGCATCGATATGTGGTCATTGGGTTGTATTCTCGGTGAAATGTTACTAGGTAAGCCATTATTTCCTGGTTCATCGACGATTAATCAAGTTGAGAGAATAATGGCTACTCTTCCAGCACCAACGGAAGAAGGTAATCCTTTAATTCAAGTGATTTAACCAATGAGTAGTTCAAATTCATTTCATAATCTTCCTTTTAACTCATTAACAAATTTTTCTTCGATTTTTCTTTTTATCTTTCAGATTTGATTTCGGTTAGCGCTGGTTATGGTACAAATTTGTTGGAAAAAAGTCCTGTTGGTCCTAAACGTTCGTTAAAAGATTTATTGCCTGAAACATCGAAAGAAGCTTTAGATCTTATTTGCAATTTAATAATGTTCAATCCTATGCATAGACTGACGGCAGTCGAAGCTCTGGAACATCCCTATGTAGCTAGGTAAATAATAACAGACGTGTAAAATAGATTTTAATATATATTTTAAATATTCTCTGCATTTTCTCTCTCTCTCTCTCTCTCTCTCTTTTATTTATTATTCATTATAAAATACACGTTAAATTATTACTAATAATATTCAGGAATAATTACAGAAATAATATTGTATTTAATTAAAATGTATAATACTGAAATTCAACGAAAACAACAGCGGGGGGCGGGGCGGGGCGGGGGGATTCGTTTAATGCACTATTATTAAACGTTATATATGGAAAATTATTCAAATGTTTTTGCTTTTTAATAAAATTTGTATCTATCAAATCGTTTTCGTTAATATTAATATATTTTTGAATATAAGATATATACACCGTAAAATGTATATTGCAATTTTGATAAAAATTATGAAATATCTGTTTCTCATCTCTTTGCAGTTTTCACAGAAGAGGAAACGAGCCTTCAAGAACTACAAGCGTAGTACCATTGCTAAGAGACGACGTACAACTCTCAGTCGAGGAATACAGAAATAAGCTTTATGCGATGATGGACGAGAAGCATAGGAAACATAAAAATATGCGAGTACCTTTATTTCCATTTGAATTTCAATCTAATTGTATCTGCTTTATTATTTATATCACTTGAAAGCTCATTGAAATTCCAAACTCTTAGCAACTACTTTTGAGAATTCGAAATATTTCCATAGAAAATATCTCTTTTCGTTTTAACAAACCATTAGATGTATATTTAAATACATATATAGGTCGAAAGCCAGAGTTAGACGTCTCTCGGAACATATCAGAAAGGAAACCTACAATTCTACTAATAATGGAAACTTTGTAGTTGGTCAAGGTGATGGAACAACTGGTAAAAATCTTCGTTCCTCGTGCGGTGATCTGCGTAATAATAAAAACAATTTACAGACTTCTCAACAAACAAACGGTAATTAAAAAACGGATGAATCACAGTATTACATATTTTAATAAATTATTTTCGAACAATCGAATCACATAGGACAACAAAAATTAAAACTATGAATTGTGTTTTTTTTTTCTTTCCTTAGAAAAAAAAAAAACAATCGAAAAGTTCTAGTTTAAATTTTATTTTTGTAAACACAGAGAAAATTGTTGAGTATTCGTAATACATTATTCATAGGTCACTATTACCGTCGAGTTTTCTCCTTTTCCTTATCGAACCGAATACAATTTCCATATGAATTTTAAAGAAAATATAGATGAAATTACTGATAAGTTTCATTGTTACGACTTTACAATTCAAATTCAATTATTATTGATCTTTGAATGTTACATTTTGATATTTTTTTAAATAACTTTCATTTTCTCAACGTACTTTACTTATTTCATATTTTTCTTCTTAATTCAAAGTCAAAATGAACAAAAACAAAAAAAAAATTATTCAAATGGTGACGCGCGTTAAATACTCAAACTTTTTTAATTTTCATTTTTAATTAACTATGAAATCGTTTTGAAATATCATCAGTTTATTTCACAATAATCTAAACTTTTCCTATTAAAAATGACCACAGTCAATGTTATTAACGTTATGGATTATAAATTTGCGTTTTTTAAAGCACGAGCAAGTTTGGCAAACAGAAAAATAATAACGGTGTCGCAAAGTCGTTCAGGTGACGATGATAGTGTTCGAGTTGGTAAAACGAGGATAATAAATACGTCAGGGAATATATCGATACAAGATAATTCAAAGAATAATCGACACTACGGTGAGATTAATATTGTTTAGTTATATACAAAAAGAAAAAAAAAAAAAAAAAGAAAATTCTACCAACGTTAACGTGATATATTTTCATTCTCCATTATGAACAAATTTTAACGCGAAAACTCGACGTATTTTTAACTAGAATAATTAATATTTGAATTTGATCAAATGAAACAATTAATAAATCGGAACTTTTTTTATTACTATTCGATTACAGGTAAAAATCCAACCTCTCATCAATACGCTTATAATCTTTCGAACGGTGATTTAAGAAATTTGCCAGCAGGAACTACTAAAAGTTGTCTTTGTCTGAGTCAACAAAATCAACATCTGGCGAAATCTCAACGATCAATACAATCAGATCAAATGGCAGCGGTAAGAAACCTTTCATATTCGATTGACATTTCTGCTTGTCTTTTTATATATCTTTATCTTTCTATTCCTTTATCCTTAAATTTATTTATCTATCTATTTATCTCTGTTTATTCCCATACTGTTCTTACGATAGTAAACAAAACAATTCTATCGTTACAGGCTACTTGTCGCGTGGGATTTGCTTAGGTACCGTACACCATTTAAACATAGTGTACACGTTCTTGCACAAATATTTTTCACTTCCTAATTTAATTTTTCATTCGCATGATTCTTTCTAAATAATCTATCTCTTTAAACAATATTCCGTTTAACTCGTTTCGTTATTTACATTTTTCTTATATGTTATTATTGGCGTCACGTGGACTTGAAATCACGTAGGAGTATAATATTTCGGTATAATTATTTGGTTTAATATAATTCAAAATTAAAGATATAAAATTCATTATTGAAAATAGTGGAAACTGCGCGACGGACAGTGCTGTGATATGTTAATATCTAACTGCAACATTTATTTGTTTATTTGTGTAGCCAATAACAAAGTGACAAAAACACATTTGGTTTTTTGAAATGCTACAAAATAGATTTTTATTAATTTAAATAGAAAATAAAAGTATAAGATCACGTTGACGATAAAATTAAATATTACAAGCAAATATTATTAGCTTAATTAATATTTGTTTATAAAGAAGAAAAATTAGGATTATTACAATTCAACACAAAGTCCATGTGTATAACATTTACAATTAGTATTACTTGTTCTCATTATATGTTCAGTTTCACAAAGTCATTTGATAAAACGATAAATCTACTTAATTAATCTTCAAAATTGTTATTCCAGTACGGTGCCAATATAAGAAACAAGCAATTAGAAGGAGTAGCACGTACCAAACTACGAAGAGGAAACTGCGATAGGCAAATACGTTCGACTCAGCATCAACGTCCACCGATAGTAAACAATGATATCGATCGATCTAACACATCTGCGTTGAATGAAACAAGCAATTCGAAACTTGGTTTATTAAGGTATAATAAGTATTTAACTACCATGTTAAACAACAACAATAACACTAACAATAGGATAACGAAACACTTCGTAACGACATCTCCAAGCAACGGTAACATTTTGAATGGGATTAGTAATAGTAGCAACAGTGGAGGAAGTGCAAGCAGTTCGGAAATTTATGCACCTCGAAGATCAAGTTCGCAATATCAAATCGTTAAAAATTATTTAAATCAGTCCTTACCGATTCATGCATCGTCAGCTCAAAATCAACATGAAAATCTACATCAGTATCGAAATCAGAAACAGCAGCAACAAGAACAGATACAACAACAGTATCGTTATAAACAACATCAAGAACGCCAAAGTGATACTCTAGGATCAGAAAAAGTTATATCAAAATTAGAAAAGTTGAATTCAGTCGATAAATATCGTATTAAAAGTTCCACATTGAATAAAACAGATAAAGCGAAGATTCAAACGAGACACAGTTTCGGTGGATTTAGTGTTCTCAATAATGAAAAGAATTCGCAAACTATCGATAGTACTAATCAAAGTCATGGTATTATCACCGCTTCTGTTTACAAGGATTTACGTAATGGGATTATAAGGTGGTGATAAATAAACGAGAAAAACTTTCAAAAGGAACAATGAAAGTACAAATGTAAAAGAGAAAAAGAGAGATAAAGAAATAATACGATAATTCAATTCTATATAAAAACTGCGAACAACACATAAATAGAATCAAATTTTAAATCGATTACAATATTAATTCACAGAAACTAATTATTCTTAATCACTTTTATGTTTTTATCGAAAGTAATTTCTTCTGGATAGGCGTATATATAGAAAGAAAAAAAAAACAACAAAATAAGGCAAATAAAAGTAAAGATCTAACTTGTATGATTTGAAAATTGCAAATAATATATTCTAATACTTCGATATCTTCACAAATAATGCATAAAACTTGATACGATAATAGATACATAAATTTACATCTATTTACATCAATTACAGAACAAAAAAAGAAAAAAACAATGATAGTAATGAAAAGAAGTTTATGTCCATGTTACTTTCTCCCGCATGATGTTTTCACGTCTTTGATTGTGTATCTTTATAGAATAACTTATTATTGTTAATATAGCATTTTAATGTCCATTAGTTCACGTGATGTTTCATTGATATACAATATATATCTTGCGCGAGAAAGTCTAGTGATAAAGCTTACCAGATCATTCGTAAAGATATACGATGATTACAGTACTTCGAAAGCCTTTTTTTACGAACCTTTTTATAAGTCCTTCGCGTTTGTTATATCGCTGTACCAAATAAAAAAAAAAAACAAAAAAAAAATTTGATAATCTCTCGAGATCGATCTCGCAAAGAGGAAACAAAAGAAAAAAAAAACGAGTCGAGAGTATACGTCGTCGTCGTCTAAAGTGCATATTGTAAAATATAAATTTTTTATAATAAAAAATAAATAATAAAATATCCACGAAGAAGAAAGATCAAATATAATAAAAAAAATAAAAAAATAAAAAGACAATAAAAAGTATCGTCTGCGATATTTAATAAAACAAATTTGTGAGCGAACGAGAGTAACGTATTTGTTCGCCCAACTAAATATACGTAACACGTTGCAGTTAACGAGATTTTTATTTTCACAGGAGAGGAAATGTAATTCCATCCAACGGTGGTTACCGTCAACGAATGCATACTAATATATGTAAGCCGTAAAAAATGATAATACATCTTATCTTTGATCACACTTCTAACAAAATTATAAGACAAATTGAATCCCTGCCCTTTAATGAAATGTAATATTTCATTATTTTGTATTGGGTTGTCCGAAAAGTTAAGAACAAATTATGAATATACGTTCCGATAATTATGACATTGGACTAATTTCTAAAATTTACAAAAAAAAGAAAAGAAAATCTGTATTTTAGAATATATAAATAATTTTAATATAAATTAAATCATTATATAGATTCATTTTCTATCTTTTTTTATATTAATCCGCCATCATAATTACCGGCATATATATATATACCTATATCGAATATATATTTATAAATAAATGTATAAAATATATTCTATATTCTCTATATTAATTCAATGTTGAATATATATATAAAAGTTTGTTACTTTTGAATTTTCTTTTTAAAATTCAACACGAACTTTCTCTGGCAACTCAATCATCTTTTTTTCACCATGTTTTATTTTTGTTTTCGTTTGTCCCGAAAGAGAAGTCATTTTCTTCACGTATATACAAGACGAGGTAATGTTCTATCTCAACGATCGAACCCTCTCGTACATACTAGAAACCTTCTGAGACCTCTTATCATGTCGCAAAGTGGATCCCCTTTATGGCTTCTCTGTTTCCTTTCTTTTTTCTTCGTCAGCAATACCATGAAACATTCGAGTAAAACATCTAGAAGTTGAGAATGATGGAAAACGTCATACATTGTTTGAGAGTTTGTCTCATGTGTTTCTTCATTCAGGATTTCAAGGATAGAAAAACTAAAGTATTGCAAACCCTTGAAACATTTCTATCCCTGCTTAACAAGATTATAACGCTCGAATTTTTCGAATTAAGGTATTGTTCAGAACATTGGATACACAAGAGCATCGTTTGATTTCTAATCTCGTTATCTATATTGTTCATTTTTGTCTATTGTATCGTAAGTACTTTTGAACTTAACGGCTTTGCTAAATTCAATCTAAATTTATTCAAATGTTTAATTATTATTCACTTTCTTTTGAAACTTCTGTCAGAGATTGTTTGTTTTTTTTTTTTTGAATAATCAAATAAAATATTAGATTTATTAAATAATTTGTTAAAAGAAACAAAACGTCCCCTTTTTAAATAGATATTTAATGTATGTTATATACGTGTACTTTTCTTTTTTCACAATATTGATCCATTCAAGAGAAGTATCATTTATATTCCATTGCAGAAATATAATATCAAATGTTTTTACCATCATTTTTATTCAAACTACATTATTTACCACATATTTACGTGCACAAATAATATATCTAAGAAAAAATAAAGAAAAAAACAATTAAAGAATATTAATAAATAAATTGTAAAAGTCATATTCACATTTTTCTTATTTCAAAATGAAAGGAGATTAAAAGAAAGTATATTTAACAAAATGATACACCATATTATAATTAATAAATTAACGTTAATGTTCAATATTGACGGGAATGTCAATGATATATTATTAATCTTTATTCAAAAAACAGACACGATATGTTTTACACAAAATAAAGTATACACATGGGGTATCTCCAAAATTCTACGATACTTCCAGTTTACATTTTACTTAACCACGCACAGTCGATACATCGTAATCGATGTTTAACACGTTCGCGATGGGGCTTGAATTTTTCTACCATTAATGTACTACCACTTGATGATTCAGATCATCGTGAACGCGTTAATAAAAATTCGATTTTTCGATTTGATTCAAGATAATGATCGAATGTACAGTAGTATCGTTGAAAGGAGAAAATATACCACGAACAAATATTTGCATGGTCTGCAGAAATATTCGCGAATTTTCCTCGAAATCTTGGAATTATTCAAACGATAATAATTTATCGAGGATCTGAAAAATCATTGGAAAAGTTTTCATAACGAGAGAATCCTCGTAATCGTTTTAAAATTAATTAAAGTATCGGATACAATTCTCTTCCATTTATTCTTTCTCCTTCTCTCTCTCTCTCTCTTTATTAGTCGATAATTCGATTAGCAATATCTCTCTCTCTCTCTCTTTCCATCGCTTAATTTTGACATCGTATTTACAACGATATATTCTTCGATCGCATCTTGTCCCATCAGATCAATAAAAATTCCGATGAAAACTTAACGGGGAATAACGGCGAGCACGACGAGACATTAAATCATGTTGTGTCTTGATGTAACGATCAATCGGTATATACTAAAGTGTTATGTTAAAAATATACACCTAAACAATCATTTTTCTTCGTTATATTTGTTGGATTTTTGATTTGTTTTGTTTTTAATCTAATTTAACTTATACACGATGACGTTTTATATAGTTGAGAAGTGCTCGATAAAAACAAAAATTAGAGTTCTAGATGTAAGGAAAAAAAAAAAAGAAAAGAAAAAAAGAACGACAAGGGAGTCGTTTCCTTTTTTTTTTTTTTTCGTAGAAACAACCCCATAAAACTCCCTATCACTCTCGCGTTAATTTCTTTTCTCTAGCCGCGCAACCGGTAATTTAACACGTTAGATCGTAAAACTTAAAGACAGGAAGAAATAAAAAGCTTCTTTCTCTTTCTACCTTTTCCAAAATGCTAATCGTTTTTATTTACCTTACTATTATCCCAGTACTTTCGCACAATCCTATCAGATGTGATATAATATATAACGATCACGCTAACCACACAATATTTCGATAGAATTAATTTAATAATTGAACATCAGGAATCAGTTCAATCGAATGATTTTTATCGAATGACGAATTAGTTTAATTTAATGATTTTTCAAACGTTAATCGTTGGACAAGACAATTTTTTAAATTACAGTAAATTTCATACTTTACAAATTATTATAAAAATAAATGAGAGCTAATTAAAAAATAAACGAATGAAAAAAATGCAATATGTTTAACGTATTGTTTTAAATTTGTTCGATTTAATTTGAATATAAATTTCGAATTGGAATCACCTGAATAATTAAGTACAGCGTCGATCATCCATAGTAACGAGAGTAGATTGTTGTGGTTGACTGGCCTCAGCATCATTCTTGTTATAACTCGGATGTCTGTCTCCAATAACGTCAACTGGTTTTGCTTCTATTTGCATTTGTGGTGTACCCCGAAGACTTCTCAACATGTAACACCGACGATGAAGACTTTGCTTACTATAAAAACTATTATAGCCACTACTTGTAGCTGTTTCATCAGCTCCCATAGGGATACAACAAATAGGTAACATTCTTCTTTGACGTAGAAAACCTCGTTTGGTTTCACCGACCATACTGCATCCGCCACATGCATCACCCATACCTCGATGAATATCCTGCAAAAATATTTACAACATATATCGGATATAATATGTAATTGATATGAATTCTTTTAATTGTTAAAAATCAATTTCTTTTATTTTCTTTTTTTTTCTGTCGAGAAAAATCCAATTCTATAACACGTACAATTTTAATTAACAAATATGAATGAAAAATGTGTTACTTAACTCTTTGCACTCTTATTAGAAGTGTGACTCGACATCAGTTTTTATCTCGAAAGATATCGTACACTTGAATATTATAAAATACAACAATAGATATTTCATTGAATTTGTTTCTTTTCCCCATCATATATTTAAATTATCATATTTTTTAGTTAAAGTAAATTACAAATATATAAAACATTTAAAAGCATTGGTAAGTTGTTAGGAACAAAATGAAAATATAATTCGGAGTGCAAAGGGTTAAATCTACGTTTTTCATTACTCTTTTCAATTAATTACTTTTCAATAATAACAATTCAATTTTGTTTTTTAATTTAACAAAAATAATTCAACAGAAGTTTAAATGACTATTTCGTTTGGAAAACGTGAATATGATTTCTAGCCTTACAAACTGTTTGACCGTCACGAAATCGCTATAATTTTAAATACTGAACGTTGGGAATTTGTATTAGGGTGTCGCTTGATGAAATCGCAATATTCTCTCTCTCTCACACTCTCCCGATCACCCTCACGAATAAGACGAGAACTCGTAAATTGATGGAACATTCGCCACACTGGTCATATAAATTCCACAAAAAAAGGTCTAATATAAAAAAAAATTAGAAAAGATCAATTGAAATAGAAATCTCATTTTTATCTACTATACGTTATGTCATTTATACTTAAGATAATTATTTTTGCAATTGATAATTATCTTGTATTATTCAAATAGAACACCTTTCCCAAAAAGTTTTTCCTAGGCATCGAACATAATACTTTGATATTCTATAGAATATCAAATTACTATTTTTTGAAAAGTTTCGGTAAATATTTTTTACACTAAAAGTGAATAGATTTTAATGAAACTTATATTAAATTAAAGTGCACTCTTTTGGCTACACGTAGAGTACCATATCGAGTTATAAATCAATCTGAAAAAATGCATAAAATGGCAAAGAATGCGATGCTGCAAATTTTTCCTACTTTGCCATTTCTTTGAAAAGTTTCGGCAAATATTTTTTATACTTCGAACAAGCGGATCTTAATGATTTTTATATTAAAATAAAGTGCACTCTTTTAGCTACACGTAGAGTGTAAATTTGACTTATAAATAAATCTGCAAAGGTTCAAAAAATGGCAAAGAAAAATTAGCGGATTAGGCAATGTGAGCAATGCCTGATTGCCAGGCATTGTTAACATTACCGACCTAGGTTCCAAACCACCCCCGGCAATGTTAACAATRCCTGGYCTTMGGCAWTRYKMACAWTGCCTRATYCGCCAACTTTTCTTTGCCATTTTTTGAACCTTTGCAGATTTATTTATAAGTCAAATTTACACTCTACGTGTAGCTAAAAGAGTGCACTTTATTTTAATATAAAAATCATTAAGATCCGCTTGCTCTAAGTATAAAAAATATTTTTATAACTTTTCAAAGAAATGGCAAAGTAGGAAAAATTTGCAGCATCGCATTCTTTGCCATTTTATGAACTTTTTCAGATTGATTTATAACTCGATATGGTATTCTACGCGTAGACAAAAGAGTGTACTTTAATTTAATATAAGTTTAATTAAAATCTATTCACTTCTAGTGTAAAAAATATTTGCCGAAACTTTTCAAAGAAACGGCAAAGATGCACAATTTACAGCATTGGATTCACAGACATTTTCTGCACTTTACATTTGATTTTCATAACTCTACAAAGTATTCTACGCGTAGACAAAAGAGTGTACTTTAATTTAATATAAGTTTCATTAAAATCTATTTACTTTTAGTATACAAAATATTAGGTAAGAAAGTTACATTTCAAAAAGAACAAGTGTCCTAACACAAGAAATAATTTTATTCTAAATACGACCACAAGATACGATTTTAAATGCATCTCACGAAAAAAAAAAAAAGAAATCGATCGTTAAACGAGATAACATTCGTGACGTTTCATGTCCTCTAACTCAACGTTTCGTCCTTCTTCATCAATATCTATTGACACGTATCATCGAACGAGATAGTACATATTCCCCGAGTACAATGTGTTATGCATTCAATGGAAATAGGCCACTCTTGCAATAGATATATGTTAATACCTAAATAGTAATGATGAATTTCTCAAAAAAAAAAAAATCAATTCTGTAAATTGTTATTTTTCTCGAACATAATTTTTTGTAATTGCATATCAAACGAGTGATTTGTAACATCGTTGAAGTCAGAAATATTGATAAATGACTCGAGCCAACTTTTCAATTGATTTATATTTTCAAGAATTGGATATCCTAAAAGTTGCTTTATCGAATTCTAAAAAATTATACAATTTCTTGTTAACAAGTATTTCGAATTGGTGACATCACAAGGATCTATACTTTTTTTAAAAAACTGTAATTAAAGATTTATACTTAGAATTGTGATAAAAAAGAAAAGATATCGTAATTTTATTAAATAAAGCTATATTGACTTTTTTTTCGTTTCTTGATAAAAATATTTTTCAATATCATGTATATGCTATTTAAAAAAAAATGCTATATAGAAGAAAACAAATTTTGAAAAAAGGAAAAACAGGGACAAAAATTGATGAACGAACGTAACAAATAACTATAGTCTAACAATTTGATCGAACAAGTTGGATGGAATAAAATCTCAGAAGATGATACCTCATAGGGATTATTGTTGATTTCAGTCAAATGGTTTATTCGTGAAATAATTACATTGAACTTTTTTTTGTCGTTTTCGTTGAGCCGAATTTATTAGAATAGCTATTGCAAAAGATGAGATTTCTTCGTATGCAAAATATCCAGGGTGATAAATTCATTACTGCTGTTTATTCCCTCGGCAATGAAATTACGACAGTTAAGCTTTAGGAGTGACACAACATCGTTGCACGAAGAAACCCGGTAAATGAAAGTTTCTTGCGAATTCGTGCTTATAAAAACAATATCATCTCTTGTAAGAAGAATCAAATCTAAAGTCGAAGAAATGGAAAAAGAATAAAATAAAACGAACTATTTCAACCAATTTCTTTTACCTCGTTTTATATTCCAACGTAGTATAATACTGAACAAATTATTATCGTACGATAAAATTAATCTCAATAATAAAAAAGTTATAATACGAGAATAACGAACTCCTCTTTGATAATAAAAATAAAAAAAAAAAACATAAAGAAAAGTTAGAGATCGTTTCGTTTTTTATTATTATACTTTTATTTTATCTATAAACATTTTATATACGTATATACATTTAAGTTCTGTACTTGAAACAAAAATAATTAAAAATCAACGATCGTTAGATTTCAATTATATTAATTACGTTGGATTAAAAGAAATTTTTAAACTTGAAGATTTTGTACAAATTTCTATGCAAACAAAATTTTAAAATGCATATCAAAAAAAAAAAAAAAGGAATCTTTACGAGGCAAAAGTTTTGCGATGGAGAAAGATAAGTTAGAAATATGAAAGAGGTAAAGAAGCTTTAGTAGAACAATACCGAAGTAATGATACATTGGTTTCACAATTTCAAATTAATCTCTTTGACTCTCTCTTCCTCTGATGAAAAATAGACAAAAAATTTAATAAGAAATGCAAGTAGTCAAATTAGATAAACATTTGTAAAAATTAGAAAGGTCGGTTATAAATTTTGATTTGGTAAAAAAAAAAGAAAAAAAATACATTCATCGAATATATGCTTGAAAAAGAATCTTATTCGTAGATACACACATACATATATATGTCTACGTATATCTATTGATACGAATCATACGTTTAAATATCAAGGTTTTATTCGTCTTCTCGATATCCTCTTTAATCCGAACAAATTCTAAGGTGTCTAGACACGTTGACCTACGATCCAACCGTTAAACACAGAATGTTCGTTCATCTTGAATAGAAGAACATTGGTTTAAACATGGTACAAATAAAGAAAATTCGATTTTTAACGCTAGAATAATTATTTAAAAAAAAAACAATCATGAAAATCATGAAATGATCAATGAAAATAAATAATGTATCAATACGAGAATGTTACGAGAAACAGACATGTTCTCTTTAAAAAGTAAATACAATGTGAAATTATAAGACAGAAATCTTAGAGTGGGGTTCTTAATAAAGAGAATTATAAATTGATTTATATAACTAATTTTAAGATAAATTTCTGCCTAATATATTACATTCTACACATTGCTCGAATATCTACAATTCATGGCTTTATTATCGTTGTTTGATGTTACTAATTACAAAATACAGCTAGATATTATACACCTATAACATAAACGTCTGTAGTATGGAGAAATCCTATTCATCATTTGTACCTATCTCTCTGTGTTTATTCTACAGCGAAATGAACAAGAAATAACAAGACAGTAATATTTATTCGGAAACAAGTAACATGTTAATAATAACAGATTTATGATATTATAATTGTTATTTTTAAATAATGAATAATTAAAATAATTCATCAAAAAACAAATAGTATCTAAATAAATATATTATATTAAATAATAAATAATTAACTTTGTGTGAATTTTTGTTTTTTTTTTCGTACACATACTTACACATTTTCTCTCACAAAGTGTTTTTGGAGATTTTAATATTTATAATAATTTAGTATATATTTCATATAATAAATTAAATATATGATTGTTTATAATTATATTATTGAATATAAGATTTATAATATAAAAGTATAATTTAATATTAATATAATCGTTATATATATATAACAACGAGAAAATTGATATTATATATTTATCACATGTTTATGTATAAAAAAACATTACCGTAATATAATGATATTTTTCATTTAACGAGATATAGAAACGGTAATTTGATAATATGAAAAAGGGAATCACCAATATAAAGAATTCATTGCTGCAGGATATGTACTTAAACGTCAAGAGTACTTATCCGTTCTCGTAAAGTTTTCACCGTTTCGTACCAGAATATACATATATATATTTGAGCAAGGGCACGTTAATTGTTTCCTAAATACCTTTTACACGTTACAACAAATTTAGAAAGTTTTCCAAGTTCCAAGAAACCTAATTCCAATGACACAAGAACATTGTTATAAAACAAAGTTTCAAAAGAAATTCAAAATAAACTGAAACTCATTCACAGAGATTGCAAGATTATTTGTTTTTTTTTTTTGTTTTTTTTTAATCGTAACAACAACAAAAATCGTACGACACTTTCTATGTTATTCATTCATTGAAAATATTCTTAGAAATATTACGGATGGGGGATCACATTTCAATAGTATAAAAAACATTGTTAGAAGTAAATTTAAAAAAATATATATAAAATTATTTTGAAAAGCTTTTTCTCACTCTTGTTTTTTCTTTTTAATAATATTTGTAATTAATTGTTAAAAATAAAAATCTTACGACATGGTTCGAGAGACGTAAATTATACTTCATTTAAAATATTCCAACATATGGTATATGGGTAAATGAACTATACTTACTTTATGACGTGGCTTACGACGAGTCAATCCACGTGATCTACGACGAAGAATATCTGCAACACTTCTTCGAAAGTTACGCGTCATAAAACAATAAACGACAGGGTTGAGTGCACTATTCGCGTGTCCTACGAATAGACAATAGGACAGGGCATCACTCACTGACTTGCCTTTATCTGCGAATAACATTACATAATTTATTTTAATATTTTTATTTAAACCAATTACCTTTTCGTTAATATAGAAATCATTATTTGTTTTTATTTCGCTAATTAGAAGATAATTTTTATTTGTCTCTTATTTTCAAAACATAAATCAATATTGTGTTCATCAAAACAGAAATCTAATTAAAAAGACAATTATATAATTACGTTTAATTATATTAGTAAATGCATTTTCATTAATCATCGATTCAATTTTGCTAACATACAAAATATATTAATTATATAAATATTCGATATATTTAAATGATTAAATTATGGTAATTTATTTACACTGTTATACTAATATATAATTTTTTTAAATTTTAGTAATTAACAAGATATTATTAATAATCAATTCTATGTTTAAATAATTAACAAAAAAATGCGTTCGATATATCAATATAATTTAGAAACACACACAAATTTAAATGAAATAAATTGAAAGATAAAGCAACTATTTTTTTATTTTTTTCCAATAAATATATATATATATATAATAAACTTGAAAAATGTATTTTTCTGAACAATTTTACATGAAAGACCTTACCGACTACTTTCAGATCAACGAGCAATCTAAGGACATTATAAGGGAGCCAGCAAAGGGCGAAAAGTACTGCGAGAAGCAGCAATATCCAAGCGATTCGTCTTCTCTCACGTACCAGACGAAAATTCTATAAGCAAACAATAATTAAAAATCATTATTGTCTCTAATAAATAAAAAAAAAATAAGCTTCTATATAGCATTAATCCGAGATAATTGGGAAAAGCAAATAAAATGATCGATCGTCTAATTCTCGATGATAGAAATTTATCAATAAAATTTCTAAAAACAAAAAACACACACACACAAGGATAATCTTGCTTTTAAGGACAAATAAAATAGGAAAAAAAAGTAAAGAAAAAATAATTAATGAATTATTTAAGTTTACGCGTATTATTATTAACTAACGTAATTTCTTCTCACGTTAGATATTATTTGAATAAATTTGAACGAAGTTTACTAGCATGTGACACGAGAACGAATCGTTTCTTTCTTGACATCGTCATAAATAGTATACGTGTGTATATGTATTAAATATAAATATGAAAGAATATCGAAAGTACAAACATGTGTTTATGACTTGAAACATATTTCTTCTCGCTCTTTGATTTACAAACCCGTTCAGATAGAAAATAGTACGAGATCAAATCATGTGGAAGTTTCTTTATTACGAATTCGATCTATTTGTTTCCAAAAAAAAAAAAAACAAATATTTTAGTTAATAAAAATATTTATTGATCCATAATAAAAAAAATAATATACACATAGTAGAAAGTATCTATTTATCTATACATTACCTGAAATGCAAGATCAAATATTTAAAGATGGAAAAGAAAATATTTGTAGATTGTATGTTTACAAATATATTTATCTCCTTTATCTAATTTTTCTAAACAGGTAAAAAAAAAGTGCCTGTTTATAAACGAATTATGTATAATACAATATAAGCTTATATTTACATATATAAGCTACCAACAAGCGTTCTTATAACTCAGACGACGAACATTTAATCGATTATTGAACTTCAACATAAGAAACTAATAGGAAAGGAAATAAAACGCTACTTTTTACTAACTTGTTGCGAGCTAGCACTACCCTTAACACTGTCACAGTCAAACGGTGGTTTCCTGGCACAAAGGGTTCGACCCATCATCGAATAAGCCAATATCACAACAAAACCTAACAAAGGAAGACATAATTCAGATCGAAACATAAAGACAACAAGCTAGAGGTAAGACTTGTATTCTAAGAATATTGTTTGCGTGAAAACTTTGTATTCTTCGAAGATATTCTATATAAACAACAGTATACTTATTAAAATATTTTAAAATAAATATAAATGTAAAATTTTGCGTATATATAAAAAACAATATCTATTATAATGATGTAGTTTCTAAATTGTATACATGATATAATATTATATCGTAAAGACAATAACGACGCGTAGTTTTGTTATAATTGAACAAAAATTATTCTATTATATAGAAAATGCTATTGTTTTCCAATTAATTCATATTTATAACGAGGATATTCTGTTCTATCGATTTCCGTTTAAAACAATAAATGTCAGGTAATGTTCTTATACACAAATTCTATATCATAATAATTTGCATTTAATAAGAAAATGAAATGTTATGTTTTATTTTTTCGGTATCATCGATTCACGTTCAAATTTTGTGCGTTTGATATTCATTAAAGAAAATTATTTTGATTATCAGTCATTCTCTCCTTTGTTTATTGTTGTTTTTTATTTGTTTAACGTTAAAAATCAAATTTTAATTAATAAAATAGTACATACCAGGTATAGCATAAACTAAGATAAAGCAGGCGGTACCGAATAAATCTGCATCGATACCAAGTTGATTCAAATCTTCCGAGCATATGTAAAATGCTGGTGGCAATCGGGTAGCCCGAGTATCGTTGCGTGAAAAATTTTCTTTCAACGCCCAAGAACCATGAAGAGTAATATTAACAACTTCTGTTCCAGGACTTTGAAGAGTCATCTGTTAAATAGAAACAAAATGCAAATTTCGTATAATTTAATCGATCGATAAATGTCGCTGATAAATAATGAATTCTCCGCTTGTATTTATAAAATACTTCGAAACGCGAATTTATCTCAAATGATTAAGTATATTTTATCGCGATCTATCATTAAAATGATAATAGAACGTAAATTTTCTTACGATACATCAATAATAAAAATAACTTTCTCTATTACAAACGATAAAACGTATATAATATGAGTTAACAATTAATTGAAAATTATTTTTTAAAAATATAATGATTCGTAATATTGTTTTTATAATAAAATATATAAAATATTTAAAAGTTATATTATAATATTTGAAAGGTAATACAATTACATTGATAAAACTGATCAATTTGATTGGTTAAAATAATAAAAAATGATAGTAAAGATAGATAAAACTTACTCCTTGTAATATAGGTACGAAAATACTCAAAGCTATTAGCCATAAGATAACGATAACGACTACCGTACTCTTTCGATTGAATACTCGTCGGAAAGCTATAGGACTTCGTATAGCAAGATACCTATCGATACTCATTGCAGTAATAGTGTACACCGAGGCAGCAACGGCCACTCCTAAAAAAAATCAAACAACGATTATACAATGCTCGATTAATCGTCGAAGGATCACTTTTTTCCATTTATCATTCTAACATTTATCGATTACTCTAGATAATAATGTATATTTGTTTCGTTAAAGTATTACCGTTGCGGAAATTTGTTTAACGTGACCTTAATTTTTACGGAAATCACATGATATTATTTCAACGATGATCAAAGCTGTAACACGATATCAGATGTATAATGTATTCGTTAAATTCTCTTATAGTTAATTTCATAAATATCATTTTATGCATAAACCTTTTTCAAAAGAATTATTTACACTAATATTTGTGCGTGTGTGCTATTACTTTTGTCCTTTCTTTAGTTTTCTTTCTCTTTCATTTTTTTTTTTTCTTTTTTTTTTATAATAATAAACTAATGTTATTTTTAAATTTCGCCCGTCATCATAAATTGAAAAATTACCAGGCTGAAAATAATATCTCGCGGTTGATAAAATTCGTATTTTTAATCGTTATTTCAAACCATTTATTTTTTTATTCTATTTCCATCGGTAAAACGAATTGAAATAGGAAAAAAATTGAGAGAGAAAAAAAGAGACAATTTACAATTAGTGATAGTATATTTTAACGATAAACATTTTCACGATGAAAGATAACTTTTAAGTAACGATGATTAATATCATTTTGTTACCCCTAAAAAGGAGATAATAAAAAAATTGAATACTTATATGTATGTGTATATATTCCGAACTGTTATCCAATCTTGATTTTACCCTTTAACAACTCAACGATAATTATTTCTGATATATATATATATATTTGACACTTTTATTTTGTTAATGATTAGATAGATTATTTTCAAGTGAAACATTCTTCAATGAAAGCTTTTAATTTTTGTCGCGAAATTTATTTATAACATAAGAGTCATTAGATATTATTAATAATAATGGAAAAATCGGATGTACATAAAAGCTTTTAGAAAGTAAAGAGATAAAGAAAAGATCAGTGATTTTTATAACGTAGATAAATCTAACGTTGAATCATGAAGCTTCAAGTAATATAAAATAAAGATGAAAAATATCTCGAGAAAAATTCGACAAAAAAAAGCAAAGTAATATAATTCAATAGGAAGAAATTCTAAAGAACGTTCAAAATATGTTTTATTATTAATGTTATTATAATAGAAAGAAAAAAGAGAGAGAGAGAGAGAGAAAATTAATGAAAGGTACATTGTATCCTATTATTAGAATTTTACAAGTTGTTTAAATATTTGTTAAAGGATCATCATGTATCCTCTATATGTTGTGAAGTAAAGTCAACAATAAAATATTTATTCTCATTATATATCGGTCAAACTCATCCCTTACCGGAAAAAGAAGCCCTGTTATATAATATAATACTTGTTAGAATTCGTGATAAACTCTCGGAAATATTAGTTTTACAAGAAAAAATTGTGCATTATGTCTTATGTTAAAAAAGGAAAAAAACGAGTGTTACGAATGGCATTCATTTTTTCTTCGTTATTACTTTCCTTCTACATTGCAAATATTAATATGCAAATAAATAACATTTTAGTCGTTTCCTTTTACAATAAAGTGTAATAAAAAAATATGAAAATAAGATCGATCCCATACACTTTCTTCTTTTATTATATTAATCGAAATAAAAAAGAATTTCGCGTAAAGAAATATTACAATGGATTTATTATTAACGCATGGAAAAAAATAAATACTAGAGTAGAATTTTTCTTTTTTTTCTTTTTTTTTTTTTTGTTAATAAATTATCGATAGAATTTTTATTATAAGAAACTTTATTAACTTTTTCATTTATAACATAACGCTTTTTCTCTATTAATAATCATTAAAATATATCGAATTTTATATACCATGTTAATTGAAATAAAAATTTAATGATAAAGGGCCAAATAAATTTACCTTGTAAATATGAGGATAATTTACACATAACTTCACCATAAATCCAAACAAGTGACACAGCTTGAGTAACCGCGACTGGCATACAAATCATAGTCACCAATAGATCAGCAACTGATAGATTCACCACGAAATAATTAGTTACGCTGAAAACAGAAGAATAGTTGCGTGCATATATGTAAAATATATACATATGCTTCATTAGAATAACAAGCGATAAAATTCAACTAATGAAGCAAATACAGAGAGGGTCAGCAAAATAAAACCCATGCTAAGTTAACCTCAACAAATAAAGGTGTGGTATGATAGTATACTCATGTATGCGGATAGTGAACACCTCGCGTTAACGGATACAATAAACATAGTAATTTCCTATTATTCGTTCTTTGAACTTTTAATGGTTTCTCTTTTCAATTTTTATTGATTTTAAAATAATTATTCGAAATAACGTTTGCGAAAAATGATTCAGTCATAAAATGAACAATATTAATATATTTAAATCAAATTTACATCTCAATTAACCCTTGAACACTGTGAAGCTTTTCCGATGAAATCAATCGCTTGGAACGGAATGATTTTTCTATTTAATATGAATCATTTTAATAGAATGTGAAAGAAGAAAAGAAAAGAATCTAAATCGCGAGGAAGATCGAAAAAAAAATTGTTGAACGCATATATGCGTCTTTATATTAGTCCAATCGGATTGCTTTCCCCATAGCATTGAAAAGTGTTAAGATATAATCGATCAATCGATTTTTGAAATTCATACCAAATATGTACGTATATATATATATATATTTCGTATACAGATAAAAACATATAATAAAAAAAGAAAAAAAAAGTAATTTATAATAGAATACGTAATATATTTGTTCCACTCGAAAAATTGAAATAATAATTCGGTTGATATTAAATTGTGCTTTATCCATGAAAAAATATATATTATTACTTTTACACATGAACGACTTCTATTCAATATTTAAAAAATACTTCCGTGTATGTGTGCGTGTGTACAAAATTATTTCTATTCAGCATTGATATTTATAAATGTAATGTACTGAATATTAAATAATCATTCAATTATTTGATGTTAAATATAATTTACTAAAGGAGCATGTTTTTCTTAAGGTATTTACATTATTAATGTATATTTATACTCATCATTTTTCTTATGATGTTCGTTATAATCAGAACACTTATAAACGCGTAATTTTCTTCGCTTATTATTACATTTAAAATAATGCTTTTCATTTTTTTATGTAATATTATGTATACGTTTAAGATCTTTTCTACGTTTATTATTTCATTTATATTCCAAATATAATTTTAGTATTAAAAAAGAAACTGAATAGTGCCATTAAATGATGAAAATAGTTATTCTTTATAAAAAAAAAATAACTGCGCATTTTATTCCGTACTTTGTTTAACATATATACAAGAACATTATTCAAAGCCAAAACGGTTAAATGTAAAAACGGTTTGATCGGTGTGCGATACGACGAGACGAAACTTGGACTTCGTAACCAAGGCGATAATTTTCGTTTGAAAAATAAGCGGCAATGTGTTAGCTCTAACGTTATTCTGTTCGTTCATTCGTGCATCTATTATAAATGCGTAAGTAATGTTTATTTGAACGATGCACCCGCTGCGATCAGAAATAAGCGCTTTACAGTTTGCTTTGTACATCCTCGAACACTTCTGTATCCAACAAGTTCTTTATCGAGAAATCCTCTTTTCCGTTGTTCATCGAATACTAATCTCTGAAGAATCTCTAAATTTACCAGATACTTATTCACTGAGAAAATAAGAAATAAAGAGAGGTAGAGAATAACAAGCTCATGACTCAACGATAATAATTCATCTATGATAGGTTCACTAGCATAAGTAATTACTCGAAATTATTTTTTTTAGAAATAACTTTTAACTTACTTTTATATATATTCTTCTTTATTCTTAATCCCTTTACGACTTATCGTATTTAACTTTGCGAAAAATTAAATGAAATTAAAAGAACGTGAGAGGTGAAAACCCACACGTAGAAGAATCTTTAACTTACCGAAGAAACTTTGATGTAAAAGAAACGCGAAAAGAAATGATTCAAATTCTTTTGTGAAACTCGTCGAGAAAAGATTTCGTTCTTTAAGATAGATAACAAAGTTCGAAAGACAAACAATAAATGTAAGAAAAATTAATTGTCGAATACTTAATAATAGTTTGAATGCAATAACGAAACTTTTCGAATTGTGTTTCCCGTTGATTAAATATCGAAACGAGCATTAAAGCGTTGCTTTATTGGGACAACATTTTGTCAAACTCTCTTGTTAATCGATTCATCCACTTGTCCAAGTCTTTTACCTTGTTAAGTTAGTTTCCAATGAAAATATATTTTACCTTGATAGGTTGATTTTCCAACGAAAATATAAACTCATTACATAAGCGTATCAAAATATATCGTATGTGTGTGATATATCGTAAGCCTGTCTAACAAGAGAATACTTTAGTATGAGATAAACTTCCGGTAACGAAATACAAAATCTCATTTTTACTTGTATCCATCATTCCTTCTTAATCTAACAATAAAGAATATCTTCTATCTTCTTCTATCTTTAATCAAACCGAACAATATTGTTATTCCCGTGTGAATGACGTAATTTCATGATTCTTCGTTTTATCTGTCAATTTCATACGAAGAAATATCGCAGTTATCCGAAATTTATCAAAGATTTATGCACAAGTTTTGTGTAATGTAAGTTTAATATTTATCAAATCTGTATATGTCATACGCGTGTCTCTCGTAATAAAACTGACATTATTTATATCAAAGAAACTTAATATCGAAAAACGTTTTATTCTAATAACTCATCAAATTCAAATACCATATTCATCCTATATCGTATTTAACCTTTCTATTGGAAATCATTATTTTTGATTTACATCGAAAGTTAATATTCTATTAATACTAACTAATGAATCGAAAAGAAAATTTCTATAAACATCTGACTTGATAAACAATCGATAATGTATTTAGAAAGAAAGCATCAATCAATAAAAAATAATTCTTTCATTTATTATTGTTACAACATCAAACGAGAGAAGCAAAAAAAAGAAAAAAGGAATGAAATGAACTACGGTAAGAACAAATCTTTTTTTTTTCTTGTACTTTTTTTTCCACGTGTATTTCGACGCACACGTCGGACTTTAAAATTCAATCGTAAAAAAAATAAAACTTGACGATCTCTTTATTTTTCTTCTTGATTTCTCTTTTTTTCTCTCTTATTTCTTCCCTTCCTTCTTCTATCTCTTCCTCTCTCTCTCTCTCTCTCTCTCTCTTTTTATTACTTTATCTCTTTCTTCCTCTTCCTTTTCTCTTTCATTGATTTACATACACGTTCAAACTTTCATCATCATTTGTCTAGCTTCGAGAAAACGAGGGGATCCTTTTTCCTGTTTCTCTCTCTCTCTCTCTCTCTATCTCTCTTTGAAATATTTCATTTTGAAAATAATATAAGCAAATTTCTATACAATTATGATTGCAATTTGTTCGACCAACAATCAGTTACTTTAACTGACACGTGTGAGTTATAAATACAATTAAAATCATTACTCTTTATATATACAGAAAATACAAAAAAACATTCATTTACTTTATTAAATGCATTGTAAAGCTTGCATGGGGTATATGCATGACATCGTAATATACAGTTCATATCTAACTAGATCTACGTGACTTTTTATTACTGCGTTTTCTGTCTTTTTTTTTTTTCTTTTTTTGAACTTATTTTATAAGTAAAATCACACATAACATAATGCAAGAACGCGATGTGTGACTAATATTAATTCTTAACAAATGTTTCTTTGAAAAAAACTTAGTTGACCCAGTTTTAAAATATCTTTCATAAATATTGATTAACCATAAATATGATGTGTGAATGATAAATGATAAATAATAAAAGAATCATATATCTTAAATGTACATTAGTTCATAGATGTTATTCTTATCAATTGATAAAAAAAAATGTAAGCCATTCTTCATTAGCCAAATCGATTAATTACATAAAACGAAAAAAAAAAAAAAAGGTAAAGGAAATTGAGATAAATTATTAGACAAAAAAAATGTTACCATAAATATAAATTAAATATTGATCGAATTACTTTAACAATAAAATTTGTTTGAAATTTCAAAAATAAATTGAATCACTTATGATCTCTGTAAAATTGTTCATATAAATGTATAATAAAATAAGAGTACATACTTTCTCATATAGTGATATTTGAAGACAACGGCGATGACAAGTGCATTTGCTGTGACAGCCAATGCGATGATAGGTACATAAAGAGTAATTAATAAATAATTTGGTTGTACATCATTGAAACTATCATATAAATCCCATAGTATATTGGTTACAATCGCATTTTGATCGTAAGCAAAAGTAGGAATCGTTGGAGTTGTTGTTGTTGTTGTTGTCGTCATGATTCTGCCAACGAACGGTGTCGTAGAAGGTGTAGTTGTCATTGACATTGTCGTTGAACTTCCGTTTAATATATCAGGATCGATGAAAAAATAATCACGAAGCGAACGTGTCATAGTTGTTGTAGTCATTGAAATATTTTCAGTGTTCTAAGTAATCATCAACAAATTATCACACCTTTACACACCTTATTTAACTTTCCCTTTTTCACTTTCTTTTACACTTTCTTTTCTTTCTTTGTTTTTCTCTCTCTCAAATCCTTTTTACGCGAGATTAGATCAGAATAATCCGAAGAAAATTTCCATTACCGGAATACAAACATAGTAAGGTAACTTGTACGAGTATACCTAAAGATCATTTAACCTTCGACATTTTCTTTTAAAAGGGTAAAGTCAAGAAATGGCAAGTCTTTATTTTTACTAAATAAAACTTTACATTCATTTAATTATTAATAATATCCTGAAGAGATAATTATTTAAATATATACCTAGAAATTATTGAAAATATACGATAGAACGAAAATAAGTATTTGTAATAAATGAAATAAATCTAGAAAATATCGTTTGGAAAAGGTAATATTTTCATATGTTAAATTATTAAATGGAATGCAATCGTATAAAAATAATCTAAATAACCAAATTACCAACTCATTAGTTCTTACATTCAGTTAACAGAATTCATATATATATAATTAATAAACATTAACTTTAATAATAATAATATTATTATTATTATTAATTAGTAATCAAGTTAAAGATATAAATTCAACTACTCATATATTTTACTAATAATCACGCGAGTTTTTATTAATCCAAATCTTAATTTGTTTTTTATTAAAATTTACTTTTAAATACCCTTCTTTGATCAAAATTACATATTTCATAAATACCTTCTAGATAAAAATATGGTAAATGCATGCGATAGTTGATTATAAGAGGGAAAAAGGAAAACACATCGGACATATTTTAAATTACGGAGTGCAAGAAAATGTTTCTAACATGTGATACGTCTGGAAAAGCATCAGTAAATGAGTACCCGTTCTCTTTTCTCTAGACTCGATTTTTCCGAGCATTTAGAAAATAAATAAAAAAAATATAATTCGCTAAAGTGCAAATGTTACTTTAATCTCGATTTTATATCTAAATTTTTGAAAAACCGGACAAACTTTGGCAAATAAGAAAATTTTTTAACATCGTTTATTATATTCATATAAGTTTGTCTATATATTGTTCGAATTTCAAAATGAAATATACTTGAATCTGAGAACATCATCTGTTATAATCAATTCTTTCTTTTTCAATCCAATAGGTGTCAAATTCATTTCAAACAGAATTGATTTTTCTATTCTGATAAAACGCATTTCTTTTTCTTCTCTTTTTATTGTTATTATTATTACTTTTATTTTTCTAATAATTCCTTCTCTTTATTCTTTCGATTTAATTAAAGAACATTAATAAAGGATCGTTGATTTCGAAGCGATCGTTTTTATTTAAAAAAAAAAAGTTCTCGTAGTTGTGTTAATCGGGTAAAACAATTTTTTCTTTTTAATCAAAAAATAAAATATATATTTTATTCCATTGACGAGAGATCAATCGGATTAAAGACAATCAATCAAATTCGATACCGAAAAAGATTCAACAAATTATTCACGAACCAATGAAAATAAAATAAAACGTGGAATACTTTTTTTGTAAATCCTTGTACTAGAAATACGTGTATAAGTTAATACTTTAATATATTTCTTTAAAATTTATTATAACACTGTTATCTGATATCATAGTAATTTTCTTCTATCCTTTAATATGAGAAAACAAATTTTAATTAAGCTTCGAATATACTTCACTTAATTGATACGACGATATCGAAATCATTTTCTTTCTTTTTTTTCATCTTTCATTTCATTTAAAACTATATTATAATTCACATCTCCAATTAATTTAAAGTACGTTAGATAAATAAACGATTCATTATATAATAAATAAATAAAATTCTACGAAGATTAAGCAAAATAAATTTTTTCACGAAAGAATCATTATATTCTATCAATATCTACGAATTTAAAACTTTCCATCCATGTATATTATATATTCATATATATATAATTATATTTTATAATTACGTAGTTATATATTCTTATTTTATAAAAATGTAAATATAAACTATATATATATATATAATTTCACTATCTATTTAATTATTATTATTACTCGAAAAAAAAACAAATTAAATACTTACACGTATATAGCCCCAAAAAAAATGAATATCTTTTATATTCACAAAAAAATATGATATATTTGTAATAAAATCGAAAAGACAACTTTGTCCTCAATAACACATGGATCACATAATCACAATAAACATTGATTATTGTTTATTTTTCCTTAGATATTAACAAATAACCCGTATCAATATAATTATAAATTAATATTCAATATTACACTTGAGCAAACACTGTTCTACATTAAATGCAGCAAAATAATGATATGTGTATTATTTGTACCTCAATCAATAATAATAAAACACATACACAATTAACATTTACAATAACCGTAAAGTATCTCCCATGTTAATCGAACTAATCACCGTCATCATCGAAATTAAAAACGTTGCTAAATTGATCATCTACGATCGCCATGTTAGATTTTCGTTAGATCCGAATTATTTTCTTTATTATATTCTTCGCAATTTTCTTCATCTTTCTCTCTCTCCCTCTCTCTCTTATATTCTCTATCTCGTTAAAAAAAAAAAAAAGAAGAATAAATGACGAGTAAGGAATAAAAAAAAATTCAGGTAACAATATAGGATATGATATATAAAAGATAGAAATAAATTATGTAAGAATTAGAAAATTATTTAAACGCGTGGGTCCGGAAACTTTTTCGACCGTTATCGACAACGACAAAGCAGAAAGAAGAATCGTGGCATACTGGAGGGAAGAGAATCGTGAATCCCGCCGAAGGTGTTGAAGGCACCACCTACACCTCATCGTCTAAAACGCGCCTGCGTCTTTCATTTTCTTTTTCTCCTCTTCATCCTTCGCGGGTTCTAAACGAAAACCAAGATCTACAGCGTATCCCTTTTTTTTCTTCTTCTACAAAAATATAATTATATAATGAAATTATTTTCATATATTATAACAATAGTAATATTTTTGATATTCCAAAATATATAATATATTAAATTGAATTTTGTAAGAATTTTTCTTCGAATACGAAAATATAATAATGAATTGTTATAATTCATTTGAATAATCTATAGTATTTTTTATTAAATATTATGACATTATTTATTTTAGTTGGAATTAACTGAAAACATTTTGAGATATATATTGGGGATTAGTTTAAAATAATTATTTTTAAAATCATTTTTATATATATATAAAACATTATTATTTTTTTTGTATTAAATATTGTAACATTACTTATTGGCTGATCTAATGTTTTTACACATTGATAGAAATATTTAATTTACATCTTTATTTTACGTATCGTAGGTAACATAGATACTTATTAGTGTTGTGAAATATACGTTTTATATTGATTAACAAAAAATTTAATTAATTTTTATCGGAACGTTACGTTTATTTAATTTTTTTCTCCTTCTACAATATAAAAATAAGCAAAAGTATCTAGATTTAGAATTTTTTTATTTCCGTTTTTATATGTTATATTACGCAACTTTAAATGATAATCACGAAATAGAGCGAAACATATACGAATTGACATTCACAATTCTGTTTCGATGATCATCGTTTTTAGTAAAAAGATTGACGGTATGCTTCATCAAATATCTGCCTTAATGGATTAACTCGCAATCGAAAAAATATTGATAGAAATGTTATTGTGACATATGACTTTTTCAAATTTAATCGATATATAAGTACATATACGTATAATAATGACGATATTCTTAATATTTATATATCATATCTTTTTATAAGCTGTAAATCCAATATCACATACACAACACAATAAAAATTTAAAATATTAATTATTTTATCTCAATTAAATATTACTTTTATAATAAAAAAAAATTCTATAAATAAAAACAATCGACTGTACCATACGAGGTAAACCACACCGCAACAAGATTCAATATTTATAATATAATAACATATAGACGCGTTAACGAGTTGTATCGTCACTTAGGCAATATGAACTTAATAGCTTTACCATCTAATGTCTGTAATAATTTGCGGTATATATTTTTGAAAAAAGAAAATTCCAATTAATTAAAAACTTTATTCGATTACAATACCCCACACACATTTAAACGATAAACAATTATTCATTGTTAAAAACGTCAATCAAATAAATGTTTGTTTATACAGTCTCGTAATAATAAAAAAAAGTTGAATTTATTTTAAATTCCTCCATAGATCGTTAAAATTTCGTTTGAAATCACGTTCAACAAATAAATTAAAATCTAACGTGAATTGCATTGTAAATTTTTCGCAAAACAATTTTCAATACTCTCTATACGTAAGAGAAATAAAAGTGGAAAGTTAGAAATTCACAAATAAATGTCTATCTTATTATTTCGATATATCTCATCGTCCCCAACGTCGATGGCAAAAACCAATCTTGAAACTACGTCAACTCTAACCCTCCTCGTTTCTATACTTCGTCAACTCTTTTCAAAGTTCTTTCTCTTATTCCGATTCTCTTACTGTTCTTAACTGAATTCATAGAAAATTCGCAATTCTATAGAATGCTCTTTACGATTTGTATCTAACAATCATTTTAATAATGACAAAGCGTCTATTCTTTTCGTAATTGTTTTAAAAAAAAAAAAAAAGCACATATTATATACGATTATACGTATATAAATATACAATAAAAATTGGACGTTTAATTTGATCGAACGATTAATTCCGATGAAATATTTTAATCTATTTAATTATACTTTCCATTTTATTCTTTCCAATTACTCGTAGTTCTTTCGATAAATACTGGTTACATCAATAAAATGACAACAAAACAATCTGTCACGTGGAAATTAATCAAACAATGAGAATCAGAGTGGAAGTTCATCTTCGATGTTGGAGATCACACGTTATTGGCATGCAAGATCACCAGATATGTCATTATTCCCGAAGCTATCTATAAAAGTCAAAGTAATACATTTATCGATTGTGAATGAGAAAATAATTAGATATATGTATATATATGGGTGTATGTATAGGAGAGAATAGGGGTCGAGGGGGAGGGGGAAAGAGGAAAGAGGAAGACTTAGTTAAATTAACCTTCTCAGTCTTTTATCGTCTTACCGAAAGAAGAAGAGACAGATCGATACGAATCATACCAGCGGCAGCAAAAAAATAGACTTTCCTTAGTTGAAAATATGCAGCAGCCTCGATGTTATCCTATAATTACGAGAAGCAAATCGATACGGTTTCAGAAAGAGAGAGAGAGAGAGAGAGAGAGAGAAAATAACGAAAACAGAAACGTCTTGAAGAAGAAACGCTTTGATCAAAATAGCTCTTCGTTGTAATTATTTGTTTACAATTAGATAATAAGAAAGTAAGATAATTAAGGAGTAAACAAATAATACATTGAATAAGAACGGTCTTGAAAATTCAAACTTGAAAGATCTTTGATAACATTCTTTTGATAACTTTAACATTATAACAGACGTTGTTTGAGAAAGAACAGAATCAAATTTTACAATAGTTCTCACCTGTGTGAAATTTCGTTTTCCAATAACGGATGAGAGAGGTGAAAAGGCTATTTTTCCAACCTCATTTGCCTGAAAAGATCAAAAGGAAACACAACAACATATTATCATATGCAAATTGTAAGAAAACTTTCTTTTGTAATTTACAACACAGTTAACGCTGTATATATATATATAATTTACCTGAGATGCAGTAGCATGACAAATCGCTATGATCAAAAATAAATTGCCAACGCAAGCAGAAATTAACAAGGATTCTCGTACAAGTAATAAAGTCGGCAATACATCCCGTCCATTGATTGTGTAAAGTCTTGAAAGAGTATTAAAAGACATACTGACGATCCAAAAGAAAAGTGAAGCTGCATAAACCGAATTAACTGTTTGAGTAGCGTTAGATAAACAACAATGTAACCACCATATTTCTTCCAAACGAAAATTCATTCTCGCTTGATCCACCACCATGATCTTTCCATCTGCAATATTAAATAATAAACATTAACAAAGTTTTGTGCTATATAACTTAAAAAATAAAAATATATTCAATTTAAATATAAAAATATTCTATTTCAATTTTTTGTCATTCATTTATTTACCGCTATACGAAATCCCATTGTAATTTGCATATATGTATATGTTACCGGCAATGTATGAACTATGAGAGTTATTAAATACTTTCCTTAGCATTCTATAGAATTTTACCCATTCTATTAGACAAAGTATGTGTTGTTTTTTATTATGAACAAAATTATAATGCAATAAGAAAAAATTGATTGCATTCAAGTATTGTTATACACTGTATGTATCTTTTATTATTGTCAGGATACATGTATGCACATATATAATTGGAAATACTTGTACAATAGACTTACGGTATAAAGTAACGGTATTTCATAATTTTATCCTGACGATAATTTAATAAAGAGTCGTTTCAAATGAGTTGTTAATTGAAATTTATTGTTACATGGAGAATAGTAACAAATACGAACTACAATTAAAGTTTAAAGTGAAACATCTACTTTATTACACATTATCTTGTATATAAAATCGAATAACCATGGAAAATATCAAATAAACTTAACAAAAGGGTGAAACTTAGATCGTTAATGAAACTAATGTCTAGCACATTAACTCTTCGTTGACGAAACTTGATATATATCGATGTTACGAGTGTAGGACATTAAAGGGTGCAATCGATTACATGTCAACCTAGAAACGAGCTTGGAAGCTTTCTTTGAACTCGAGGAAAACGATAGCACTCGACTGGTTATCGTGTAAGTGGAATCCAGATGGTATTGGTATGTATATATGTATTTGTTTGTATGTACTTATGAAAAAAAAACAAAAAGAAAAATGGAAATTTGTAAATGAGAAAAAACAAACAAGAAATAAGAAAGCAAGAGAAAAAAATCTCATATTCTCATTCGATATTTTAAATTGACCATAATTAGCCCTATACACGTTGAAATATGTTGCGATATATACATGCATCTCTATTCCGAAATTTCATGATAGATATTGAAATATATTTATTTAGTTAGAATCAACATCAAAAGTAACTTTCATCTGGAAATGTACGGAATAAGCTAAAAAACCATTAAATAACAATATATATATATATATAATGTATGTAACTTTATCAAATTTCTCTAATTTTGATTTTATAGTGTTAATCGATTTGACAAATATGCGAGTCATATAAATACCGATAATTTAAACAGTAAACTAAGCCCAACAAATTTATTTTATAATTTATTTTTTAATATATAAATATATAATTGTAATATAAAATCAATCTTAAAATCAATGCTTTCTTTTTTGTGGCTTGATATAAATAATTGTATTAATATATAATAAATGTTAACAATTTGGTCATAATTATATATATATATAAATATAATTCAGGAAACTGATGCAAGTTTCATACGTCGCAATATATTTCAACGTGTATAGGAAACCTTAACACGTGATAAATGAGAGAAGTTAATAAACTAACAGAGAATATTCTCGATAAAAGATAAAAAAAAAAAAAAAACTTTACAGGAAATGAACTTACCTTCAGGAAGTAATAGTATCTCACAGAGCCTTCGAAACCTTTGATAGAGGACGAAGGACAACCCAACAAATTTCAGTAGCTGCATTGATATCGCCGCGTTCACCAACCCATAAGTAATTCCATTAAACATCGGGGCAGATTCTTCGCAACTGTGCACATACATACACGTACACCCACACACATATATATTCACTATAATTTCTTCCTTTTGATTTCGTGTTCTAGCTTATTTAATAAAGAAAAAAAGAATAGAGAAAATATAATAAAAATACACACGATTCAGAAAATAAAAAAATATTACACTATAAGTTAAAAGTGTTAATATATACGTCTATCTAATAAAATTTATTACAAATACAGAAATAAAAATAGAAAATAACTCGTTGTAATATAAAAGAGTAACAAAATACGTACAAGAAAAAAGATATATTGTAATAGATTATTAAACAAATGCATTGTCACAACTGTTAATCAATATTCACGATGAATTTATATATCTATATTTATTTCTGTGTATTAATTTTATCTTTTATATATCATACGACCTAACGTTGTAGATTAACGCGCGAATGAAAGTAAAAAATAATTACAAAAAAAAAAGAATGAACAAAAAAGAAATAAAGAAAGAAAGAAAAAATATGATGTTGCTAGTAATTCCCAAAGCATGAAACGTCATGGAGCATCAAAATATCTTAAGAAAAGGATTTCCCGAGGATCTTACCAGTAGCTTGTATATCCAACGGCAAACCAAACCAAGAAAGTAATTAAGACTAAAGCTTGACATTTGCGACGTGCATTATTGCTTTTAGTTGGACGTTCATTAAATCTGGTAGTGCGATCGAAGTTTCGTAATTGGGCAAAGGCAGCACGAATTTTCCCATTCCAGACAATCGAGAGAATAGCATCAGTGAAAAGACAAATGTAAGATAAACTTGTTCTCGCAAGAGTCAACAAAAAACTCTTGTATTCGACGTCAGTATCAATAATTATTAAATAAAGACCGATGATACAGGTACTCAAATATACGGACATCCACAAAAACGTATATATCATGCCACGTTTAGTCACTAAAATATCTTCATCGGTTATAACGTGTGGTCCACATCCAAAAAGTCTCGATGCTTGTAGAAAAGGTTTTATGTCACGAGTCAATCCTACCATTCTTCCAGATTCAACAGAGCTCTCTCTTACGAAATGTATTCTGAAAAATTCATATAATAAGATAATAATTCCCCAATATGCTCTTGAATAATAATAACAGAAATAAAAGTTTAGTAAAACTATTAGTACGATAAATGAGTAGTTTCTAATACGCTATTAGACCAGAAATGAAGTTATTAGCACTTAACTCTTAACATGTTTTCTCTTCTATTGATCTCCCCAAACAAAACGATTATATCTTTTTTATGTATATTGTATAGTAATTTATAAATAATATAAAAAAAAAAAAATAAAGATAAAAAGATATGAAATATAGGCGTATAATAGCGAATTTATTATTAATAAATTATAGGTAAAATATATACATATATTTTATTACACGTTCTATTAACGATCATACATATATATGAACTTTATGATCATATTAATAAAAATCCAAATAGAACAAAATTCTGAAACTTCAATACAGATAAGAAGTACTGTAAGCCGGAAGTAAATCCGCGATCATGTTTTTTTTTTTCAAATGTACTCGAGTCCATCGTTGGACATCGTCGAGATTAATGAAAATTCGAGCTTGATAAGAAACATTGCGAATACCATATAGACACGTACAACAAACAATTAGAATGATTTACGAGTAGGAAGATCGAACACCGTTCTTTTCTTTCATCCGATCGTATTTCTTTCGTCGTTAACGCGTAATGTTACTAAATTAAGGGGCTGTAGGAGTTTGAACAGCCGTGAAAGTGCTCATGTATTTTTTATTGAAAATAATCGCGAAAATAAATTTGAAATTATTAGCTCATATTATTTCTTTTCTTTTTCATTTTCTTTCTTCTCCCCTTTTTTCTTTTATATATATATATATTACAACAATAATTTTTACAGTACTGAAATGCAGAGGATAATGAAACGTGTCCGGGATCCAGTGCATTCGAGTTAAGCCCTCTTTTCTGGTATGAATAAATGGTAGCCATTTTTCAGGTTGCAGTGATGTCCTGAAAAAAAAAAATAAATCTTCGAGAATACTATATCTTCCCAATAAAAATTTAATTTTTTCACAAAGTTTCAAAATTAACGTTGTAGAAATGCATCGGTTAGATATAGAAGATCAAGAAATCAATTGGAAAAGTAACAAAAGTAAAAATTGAATGAATGTTTTAATGTAACTTTAAACCAGAAAAATGTGCTATTGATCAATGTTACCTTTATGAAATGATTCTCTTTCCTTTCTTCCTGTTTTCTTGATTGAACTTTTACACTTGTGGAGAAGAATGTAACTTCACAATTACAAATTCCATGCATATTCAACGTAATATATTATCATTCAGAGTTTGAAAAATAATATTTAAACAATTACGTAGTAATATAAATCAATCTCGGAATAAAATGTTCAAACTCCTACATGTAAATTTAGTTAATGGTACGATCACTCTCTTTCGACGACGCGAAGACTACTACTACAAAACTAGAACTACCTATTGCTCTACACCTTGGATATAGTGAAGCTTCCTTCACCCATCATATAACCTTTCTAGCAAAACAGTTTCAAAAATATCACGTTTCTCGGTCTACCTCGAGGACGACTTTGTCTTTTCCAAACGGGGTTGGATAAATAATATGGGCGAGCGTTGAAGGGTCGAAACGATGAAACACTTTGAAATCTATGATACGAATCTTGAATCAAATAAATATGTACATACGTATCTGGAATAACAAAACGAGGAAGGTCTCAATAACCAATAACGAAGGTTTTTATCATCTATAAAGGGACAACTACAAAGTCGAAGGATAATGCTATGAAAATATAAAGATAAAAATGTCAAGGGAAACAGCAGCTGTTGATCGTAAATTGTCACTATGTAAAAATAATGTTTCTTTTCGAAGCAATTACAATTACAAGTGGCACGCGATATTTATACTTATAAAATACTCGTTACATCTCAACCTTGACCCATCTCTAATTTTATCATTCTTCGATTATCACAAAATTTACACTAATTGCAAAATGTTCAATACAATACACATTTTTTTTTTATTTATTTAAAAATTACAAGAAATGGAATGATTACGTTCATTTTTTGTTATTTTTTATCATTGTTAACGTTATACTGGAAGGTGACTTTATAACGACTTGGCGAATAATTTAAAATGCAAGATCTAATAATAAATACTTTTACTTGATACATGGACGAATAATCACATCGAGATCATCACATGTTTGATAAATTTCTTCGGAACAATATTGTCATAACGCATACACCTCAAATTACTTACCTTCATTTAAAAGATCACGTTAAAGATATCTTTTATGATGAATAGGTAAATGCGTACGCATTAAGCATAAAATTAATGAATTGATCGAATAGAAGATTAAAAAAAACAACACTTTCGAAAAATTAAAGTATATTAGAATTATTAGAAATTAATATAGTCATTTTTAAAACGCAATAATATTATTTAAATTATTACTTACGTTTATATAATTTGAAATTTCAAATTATGTACATATACCGCGCCGGATAAAAACAAAGCACGTAATTGGTTTGTACTCCTTGAATCTACCAATCATCTTACAGCGCCACGTAGCACTAACCTAACGTATAACAGCACCAAAAGGAATACGTAACAAAAACTAAATCAGTTAACTATACTAAAATATAACAAAAAACATATGCCATAAGGTTGATAAAATAAATGTGTTATGTGTAGCACTATCATTATATCACTTGATGATTAGAATCGTTTAAAGGGCCAATGGGATCCTTTGAAAATTAGTGACGTTTTCGTAATTGACAGTAAGAACGATTGGGGGCGTTTGTTGAGCCATTGCACCATACAATACCATTGGATTGTTCGCTGGTGCATGTCCGCGTCGGGAAAGAAAAAACATTGTTTTGAAGTTGTATAAGGTGAGAAGTCATTAGGTGAAAAATGACGTCCCGTCTTGAGAAAGAACGTGCCAAACAAATTCAAGACAAATGTCAAAACCTCTTAAATCAAATGTTAAGAGACGAGGACAACAAGTACTGTGTTGACTGCGATGCAAAAGGTTCGTTTGTCGTCAAGAATTTCTCCAGAAAATATTTTACGAATTAACGACCCGAAATCCTTTTTCCTTTGACAGTTTTTTCTTTCATTTCGTTAATCAATGAATTCTTATCAATCTAATGACGTTTTTATTACCGAAATCATCGATTTCGTTAGTTTCCTTCGACCTAATTCCGCGTTCGCTTTTTCAAGACGAATTATGGATTTTTAATTTCTTCCCTACAAACTTACTGATTGACAGTAATAATGCGATAATGTCACATCAAATTATCTTGACGTAGTAATCGAAAAAAGTTTTTATTTATTCTTATTAAGATTATAGTCCAATTGGTATTATATTTTTTTTTTAATGTTACCTACTCATTTTGACATCTATCAAAATTATTGTGACATTGTCAGTTTAGCACATACACACGCGCGCGCATGCACACACAACATATTTTTTTTGATTCTAGAAAGATATTACATGAATCTAATGATCAATTTTATATTCTTCTTTATATACTTTCTATATTTTTGTTTTCCTTAACTAATTAAAATATATTGAAATTATCACAATGTCTTTATACTATATTACAATAAAATTAGAAATGTGTGTGCATTGTCATTTGTATTTTTCCAGGGCCAAGATGGGCCAGTTGGAACTTAGGTATATTTTTATGTATTCGTTGTGCTGGAATACATAGAAATCTTGGAGTTCATATAAGCAAAGTTAAATCTGTTAACTTAGATACATGGACACCCGAGCAAGTTGTGGTATGCTTATAATTTTTATTTTCTAATATAAATCTTTTACAAAATTATTTATTGCAAGTAACTTGTATATAACTCTTGCATCTATTTTCTTAAATTTGTTTTTTTAAGTCCTTTAATAAAAAGTATAATAAGTATATTTTTAAATGTATATTTTCTTTACAATAATAACTTAACTCTTTTCGTGAAACTTAACACATTCGCTACTAGTGTCACATATTTAACACACCAATTTTCATTGAAAGTTCAGCGCCACAAATTTGTAATGATAATCAATGTGAAAAATAAATTTTGGAAAAATAAATTTCGTCTCCTGTGGTAATGAACATGTTAATAACAGACATATGTATATAATATGTTATGTGAAAAACTGAAATTGGAGAATGTCAAGAAACATATGGTCGCTTGTCAACATATACCAAATACGTCAGTGAAAGACCAAATAATTGGGTTTATTCTTATATATTAATATTTCGGACATACATCAAGCAACTCTGTGAATTTTAAAATTCTCCAATTTCGATCTTTCACGATAACATAATACTCTCAAATAACAAAAGAATTAAATGTAAACAAAACTTGTGTCTATTATTATAACATTTAAAGTGTTCAAATTTATTACATTTTTAATTTCTAATTTGTAATTTCTATTTTAACAGAGTTTACAACAAATGGGAAATTCACGAGCACGTGCAGTCTACGAAGCTAATCTTCCAGATAGTTTTCGGAGACCTCAAACGGATTGCAGTTTAGAAAGTTTTATACGCGCGAAATATGAACATAAAAAATATATTGCAAGGGAATGGGTACCGCCTCCTTTACCAAAGGTAAAATATAATAGATATATTTAAATAATAACAGACATCTTTTTATTTAAATATAAATAATAAAAAATAGGTATTTTTTATTGATACATATAAAACTAGAAATAACGAAGTATTTTCTTAGTTCTTTTTTTAACATTTTATTATCACAAATAGGTAAATTGGGATAAGGAACTTGAGGAAGAAGCAGAAAAGCAACGCAAACGAAAAAAAGAAGGATCAAAATCCAGCACCAATCAAGCTGTACTGCCACCTGTAAAAAAACCAGAAGTAGTACCACAGCTACCAAAACCATTAAGTTCTGTCAGTCCAAAATTAGGAAGAACAAGTAACACTGCAACACTAGATCTATTAGGCCTTGGTAAGTTAGTTTATTTAATAAAATGCATATACAATATTTGTTAAAATTTTTATCTTTAGATGCTCCAGCTACCAATCAACCAAGTGCAAATGGATCTGGAGATGATATCTTTTCCTCATTTTTATCTGCACCACCAACATCAACATCCACGACTGATAATAATACTACAAGTGAAGCAACAACAAATAAAAGCGAGGAAGAAAACTTCTTCGACCAGCCAGTTCCGTTATCTCAAGAAAAAAGTAAAATGACTAAAGACAGTATTTTAGCATTATATGGTACACCAAACCCTCAACAACAACAAATATATGGAGTTTCTGGTACTGTAAAATTCTTTTAAATTTACATATATAGGGTGATTCACTAACTCTTGCCACCAAGATAGCTCCGAAAGTATGATAATAGCAAAAAAGATTATAGAACAAAAGTTACATGAAAAATTCTGAGCTATCTTGGTGGCAAGAGTTAGTGAATATCACCCTGTATATATTATATTTTTTATATTAAAAATAATATATAATTTAATCTTCAAACTACTTTATTCTAGGTGGTATGTACAATCAACAATCTTTACAATACAAGCAACAAGTTCCAGGTGTAGTTGCTTATGGCCAACAACAAAGCAGTTTTCAAAATCCACAAAGTTCATTCAATCAATTAAATCATATGCCAACTCAAATGACTGTACCAAGTCAAATACCAATCAATCAAACTCAAATTACACAAAATCCTTCTTCAATAGGAGGAGTAGTAACTAATCCTTTAGGAAGTTGTGTACATATGAGTCAAATTAATCGAATGAATGGTGTACCAAACACTGGTGTTGCAATTCAGTCTCAAATGGTATCCAAATAAAATAATAACTTATGCACTGTATATTAAATAACACAATATAATTAATATATACTTTATCATAGATGATGCAATTAGGACAAACTAATAATGGATGGAGCGGTATGTTGACGCAAAATATTCAACCAGCACCTGGAAACAACCCATTTTTTAATTTAGCGGCTCAACAACAACAATCTACAGCAGCTTTTGTTTCTCAAGTACATACAGATTATAAATAATCTATAATATTTAAAAAGAAAAAGAAATTATTTAATTATGTAATATTACAGTTGCCGCAGCAAATGTCACAGATGTCTTTAAGTGGAATGAATTTTTCAACTACTGCAGGAAAATCAAATAATACTGCATTACCTGGACAAACTCTTTCTACTAACTTATGGCAGTAAAAATTATGGTGGATATGATTAGTTGATTGACAATTTCATTCAGTGTTATATATTAGTGTCAACTGTTTGTTACCCAGCAAATTATATTTCCATATTAGAGATCGGAAATTTTGTTGGGAAATAACGGAATGAAGACACAAATAAAAAACACTACTCGAGTATTAAATAATGTGAAAAACAATCCCTGTATGAAAAAAGTACTGCGAGTCACTATATTTTTCTTCAGAAGCTTTATCAACTTCTAGTATTGTTGAAAGTACAGGAGATAAAAATAAAGGTAAACGTTAGACTGATTATGAAGAGTTATTCATGCTGTTTGAAACATGTGTAGTTAACTAAGTAATTATATTGTAAAATTGAACATTTTAATAATTGGGACTTAGTTTTTATGCTTCAGGGTCCACTCTTGATATAAAAAAAAATGCATCCAAATAAATAAGTACAAGTATTTGCGGTACAATAAATGTACTGTAAGATGTAAATTATATCAGATATGACTTGAAATTATTTTTTCCAATATTTCTTTAAATGCTAAATTCTCTGAAATGAATAATGCATTTATTATACATCGAAATACTTGAAACAAAATAATTATTGCCTAAATAGTTATAACTATATGGTCAACTTAAAGTTTTTTATATTTTTTTTGTGTATGCAGAATACAAAGGTTGAAAATTTAATTATGTCCAATGTGTACATTTTCACCTTTTTTCTCTCTATATATATTATAATATTGAATTTTATTTTAATATTTCATGGTTCGCCAAAGTTATTATATTAGAACCAAACTTTAAATTAAAATGACAAATTATAAAATATCATAATTGATATTTAAAATGCAGAAAAGTAGTGCAATGTCTATGAGAAAGAATATATTGTGTATAAATGGTTTCTTTCTAAAAAAAATACTTGTTCTTTTATTATAATAATACATTATAAACATAATATATATGTTAGTTTCAAATTAAGTCAAATATTTTTACAGGTATTACTATTTTATAGTAAAAGTAATAATTTATATAAACTAAATGCCATATATATTCATGACAGTAAATCTTTTCAAGCTTATTTTTGCATAATAAAAAATATACTCTAATATTCGATAATAAGTCACGTGAATAATATTCATTATATTCATACTTTCACACACAACATATACAGGATAACTGATATAACTAAGTAAGAGGTAATTCTACGTGAAAAAATAAGTCGGAAATATAAAATAAAATTTTTTTATTTGTGATTTTGTTTTCGAAAAAAATAACTTTTAAATACTGTTTAAATAATAGATATAAGTGTTATATATAGTTGTTCCTATAAATTTCATTATCTTGAAAAGTTATTTATTTTTAACAAGAAATAACAATACGCAATGCAATTCAATATTCAAAACATTAAAAATTAAAAATGAAATTATGTTGTGTTATAAAAAGGAAAATTGCAAAAAATCTATAGATATTATAATCCAATGTAAAACCAAGAATATGTTAATAACACAAAATTATATATAAATAAAAATAAAAATTAATTATTCTCAAATTTTAATAAAATTTTATATAATTCTTTAGCTAAATTTTTAAATACTATATTACTTACATTTAAAAAAGAAAATAATATTTATTCTATAAAAAGAGAGATGTATTTTACTTAAATGCAATTAAAAATGATTGTCAACGTTTCTTATACACCAATCAGAACGCCGTAATACATGTATGTTACTATTGGTTAGAATCGTTTCATAAGAATAAAGCTGTAGGTTTTAAACGGAAACTTCCATCTTAACTACATAGTCAAATAGCTCTTCCTCTTTCTTGAAACGCTTTCACGGTAATACACGAGGCACAAGCTGCTGTTACTATTTTATAAAGCATTTTCAAGTTAATCCATTAAACACGTGGTATTAAACATGGACAAACCAGTCGTATTAGCCCGTGTAATTAAAGTATTGGGTCGTACTGGTTCACAAGGACAGTGTACGCAAGTAAAAGTTGAGTTCCTGGGTGAACAAAATAGACAAATCATCAGAAATGTAAAAGGGCCGGTACGTGAGGGCGATCTCCTAACCTTGCTGGAATCTGAGAGAGAAGCAAGAAGACTACGATAAAGCATTCTATCTTTATACTATATTAAAAAGATTACCAAATATGAAATCACATCATTCCAATACTCCTTTTGAAGTGGATTATTAATCTTACTGTCACTGGAAAAAATCTAATTGTAATTACCACTGGAAAGAAATAGATCAACAAGATGGATCAATCTAACTTTATGTTCAACTACATTCATACTATGAATTCTGTAATAAATCTTATCTGGTAATCATCACAATATAAAGTGTTTTTATTTTTGTTTCTTATTTTTAATGTCTAACATATAAGGTTACTAAGTTACATAGACAAAAAAGATATGTTATTACACATGACGATGTCTATAATATATTTTATTCTATAATAATATCAAAGTGAGCTAATGTATTATTTTGACCAAATGAAAAGAAAACAATTTTTCTTTTAGAAAGAATATTCATTGCTCATAATTAAAAAATAAATAACTATATAATTTATTAAATATAATAGTGTGTGTATTTACAGTGTTAAAATCAAAATTCTTTTACAAATATATACAAGTACATTCAAATTATACAAAACGATAGAAATAACATTTGTAAAAACTACTCTTATAACATAAGAAATCGTAACTTTTAAAAAAATAAACAAGTATATTCATCTTCTCATAATCTTATATTCAAATGATAATACTATTTTGTGAAGAAAATATATACTGTTATATCCTTCTACGTTTTAATGGTGGTGTATCACGTGGACTGGAAGAAGCTTTCGATGAACTATCCACACTTTGTCTAGTTGGTCTCTTCGGACCTCTTTTTAAGCTTTCACGACTTGAATCAGAATCCTTGCGTTCTTTTTTTACATTTGATGCTTAAAATAGAAAATAATATATACATGATAAGATCGAGAAAAATATTTTAAAATTCAAATTTAAATCTTGAGAATAGTTCAAAAAATACCAATTTCTTCCATTTCATCCTTCCCTTTAGACCTGCCTTTAGAAAGTTTATGTTCCTTCCTTGAATCTTTCATATCTCTTAGTTTATCTTTTTTTAAATCTATTTCTTTAACATATTTCTTTATATCTTCCTTTTTCTTTTCAAGATCTTTGGATCCTTTCATATCGCGTAGCATAGCTTCTTTCTTAAATGACTCCCTTATATCTTTTTCTTTTTTTATTTCTTTATATTTATTATCTTTTTGTTCTTTGAATTTGCTTTCTTGCTCTTCCTTTTTCCTCAATTTTAATGACCCTAAATATTCTGATTCAGGAAGTGAAAAATCCATTTCGTGACTTGGAAATGGCAAATCTTCCATATCATCCTATTTATATTAAAAGAAATTCAATGCACAAAATTAATATCAATAAGTTAGAATTAAATATTCTAATATAACATTTACAAAATTATATTTATAAAATACTACAACTTACTAGAGCCATAAGATCATACATTGATTCTAAATGGTCCCAAATTGCTTTTAATGAAACATTTTTATGAATAGCACCACGAAATTTTTCCCTTATACATATCATGTGAAAATATTTATTGATACCTACAAAATAAAAAGTATACAAATGAAGATATAGAATTGTTATCAGATTTTAATCTTACTGTAATATGATAAAAAGAAAAGATTCGCACGTAAATACAAATTATAAGATTACAATAATAAAACGGCTAAGGTTAAGACCATAGACAAGTAAAATATAATCTTTGACGTAACGAGCATAACCTCAATTTATTTATTTGTATTTACCAACTGGTTTATGACCATTCATAGCGAAGAAAAGATTAATTTCATTTTCTATATTCCATTCTATATCTTCAGTAGATTCTGCAGATTTTTCTTTAACAGCCATTGTAAAAATAATCCAAATTAAATTACTAAATTCACTTCTCAAATACGTAATACACAATTTGAGACGCCATTGATTTTATTGTAATATTATGGGTAATACTAAAGAAAATCTATGGGTAATGAAATCATTGCTGAATACAAAATGTTAATATTCATATTCCGTTGAATAAACTATTTTTATGATTTTTTAAGATTTATAGTGTTTTATATTTTTATAACATTTTAACAAACACGTGTTTCCATGATGCGCGTGTAAATGATCAAAACTGATTGGTTATGAATTTATCAATGTGGCAATAATATGTCATAAGAACTTTTCTGTCTTAGCACGTGAAAACATTGTTTATAAAATATTCTAAACTATGTACGTGTAATAATTGGAAAACTATTATTTGTTTGTCACGCATATATATATTGTCTTATTATTGCATTTCTTGGTATGTACTTAGTTTTTCATTTTTAATGATAAACATAAATGTATTTTTTCTTAGAGAAAAATTTCTATAATTATTTCTTTGGAAAAAGCAACAATACTTGTTTTATTTCTTACTTACACTTTACTACAAATGTATATTGTATCAGCAGAATTATGTGATATTTTTTATATTTTATTTTGCATTTCAGGTAATGCTTATTTACTAAAAATTTTAATGTCTTCTACATTTTTTATTAAATTAACATTATTGAAAATATTGTGTTAATTATATATATATATATATATAAATATTTACATTAATAAAATATATTTAAAGATTATAAATGTTAAAATAAATAGTAAACATACATAGATAATCGATATACATTCGACAATATGGAGAAAAATATAGATGAAATATGTAATGCCATTGATAAACTTTTTTTACGTAAATTGGAATTAATCGAGGAAAAAGTTTCTACTAATGTTCAAATGGAATTACTACTTCGTTCTGGACATATAGAATTAGCTAAGGCAAGATATATCAGTGGTAAAGAAAACATTAGTATTCTACAAATTCCTGTTCATATGAAGAATATATCATCTCTATTTGAACTTGAGTCTAAGTTTACAGAAAAATCTGATGATAAAACACCTTCTTTCGACATTAGTCTAAGAAAAGAAAATGAATTCAAAGAAGATATTCAAAATCCTATAAAATGGTTTGGTGTGTTAGTTCCACGAAATTTAAGAACTGCCCAAAAATATTTCCAAGAATCAGTGTACCTTGCTACAAAAGTAGCAAATATACATTGCGAATTAGATTCTATTGCAAATAAATTAAAAGCTTTGTATCTTTTGAAAAATGCATTTTCTAAACAAACAGAATAATGCTATTGAAGATAAGTGCATACATTGTTTAATATGATTTAATCATTATTTTATCAATATATACACAATCTATTTTATATTTAAACAATATTAATAATGTAACCTTAAAAATAGTAAAAATATAATTACTTATTTAATTTGAATCACAAAAAATATGCATTTCAAATATCACACTAATTAAAAGTTAACATCTATTAGATATTCATTTCTTACATATTCTAATAGGTGTAATTACATTTATTTTTATAGTTATATATATAACGTATAATAATTAAAATTATTATGTAAATTTAATTTCAAAGAGAATACTGCTAAATTTTTCACAAAATACAAATAACGTTATTTATAATCCTTAATTATATCTTCATCACAAGATAAACAAGCCAACAGCATTAATCATTATTAACTTGGTGAATAGGAAATTGTAAACTGTAAAATTTATTTTTTATCGTATTAAATTAATTATTTCTTTTGAATTTACATGTTTTTTTTAATTTTAAAATATATATATATACTGATACTTATTATTAATTTATAAATTATATCTAATTCAGTCGTCTATTTCTGATGAATCTCCACCCATTGATTTCCAAAAAGCAGTAACTAATTGCTCTGCTGCTATCCGTCTTTCATTTGTAGGCAAAGAAGCTGCATGTTCTTTCATTGCCATTAATTGTACAAATAATTCACCAAAGTCTGCATCTTCACCACCCATAATGCCATCTATAAAATATTTATTCAGTATTCTAATTTAATTATATTATAATTATATACATTATAAAAAATAAATTAGAATAATTATAGACATATTACCAAGAACACTTTCCACATTAAGGTATTCCGATGGATTATGAGTTAATTGAATATTTTCTAATTTCTTTTCTACTTGATCTAAATTTGATTCTTTTTCATCAACATTAGAAGGTTTTCCTATAAGAATTATAAATATATTATTTATTTTTATTATTATTTTTGTTTGGGCAAAATGTTTAGTTGGATAACGCATATGATAACTTAAAAAATAAGATATATTACTAAATTAAGAAATATTTAAATTTAACAAGTTTAACAAGAAAATATAACAAAAATAAAGCAAACAAATGAACAATTAAAATTTAATATTCAATTGCATAGAACTACGTTACCAACTTTTAATAACAGATTATAAAATGACGTTAAACTACGTCACCGGTATTCAACTAAAGAACTTAAGATGACATAACATTATATTACCAGTTTCCAATTTGTTAATATACATATTTTTATGAATACATATGTATCAACATTAAATGTACCTTTTAATACAATATTTGGCCATGTATGCGCATGTAAAGCTTCAATGATTCTTTCAATTCCATATGTATTATGTTCGAAGTCATATTCTAAATTTTCTATGGAATCTAACTGTTGCAGTTCAACCAATTCAAATTTTTTACTTATGCACCATGCAATTACTGTAATGCGTTACAAAAACAAATATTAAACTGTATCAATGGAATTAAAAGTAATTTTATGCACTCTTACTTTTATCTTTAACATCCATATTTGATATTACATTACATGTAAGTAATAGTACATCGGCTTTAGAAAGAGAAGAGATTAAGGATGACCATTGATCTAAATTTCTTTCTGCATTATCCTAAGAAAATCAAGTCATTTTTATAATTTTATAGATCCTATAAAGTGCCATGAAAACTTAATGTCTTACAGCTTGTGGATCATGATACATAACCAATGCTTCTATTCCTTCTGTTGGTATGTTGATATGTGGATTTTCTGTTACACATAATAATATCTGTGACGTATAATATTTATTGTTGACATCCCATAAATAGTATTCTATATCGCCTTGACTTGATTTATTTTTCCCTCCTATTTCTATATTAAATTAACGTTAGAAATAAAGTTATGCCATATTAAAAAACAAAACAAAACATAAAAAGAACTAATAATATATAAATATGTATATATATACACATTACTTACTTTTAGCAATTTCAGTAGCTTTACCATACACTGTACTTATGATTAAAATACGTGGAAGATCCATCTTTTGCAATATATATATATTACTTTACTAAATGACTTATTTGAATAAGTCAAAATATTAGTCAAATAATAATCTACTACTTTCAGTATAAAATATACTTGGATACTTTATAAAATATTTTTTTAATAGTACAATGTTAATGTTTATTCATAAATCATTTAAACTTTTATTTATATCATAAAATTTATAATATAGTTATATTAAACATTTGATTGATTTATTTATAAATTAATTCAATCATGATCTTGCATATAAAGGCGGTATATTATGAATATACACGAAATTCATTAAACTATTATTAGAATCAGAAAGCTTTCTTTATTTCCTATATACAAGTCAAAAATAACCCTAGTTAGAAATATGTTAAAAGTTGTACTTTAAAAATTGTTACTTTTAATTTTATTATTTATATATTATACTTGTTTTCAATTAATAGTACTTCATTTCTAAATAATATTTATCTATAAATTTTAAATATAAATTATCTTTATTTTGTAAGCAGAAAGTTGTTTTGCTAGCTTTGATTTAACATCTGTGACAATATATGCAATACCAAAAATATGTAATAGTAATCTACTATACATTACAAATCACTTTGAGGGAACACTAGCGACACTAACGTCGAGAAGAATCTAAATATGTCGAACGCATCTAATGGGTATTGGCATTCTTGTTGATTAATTTGCAGTAATTATTATATCTAGTGCTCAATTGAATTGTTTCGTGTAGTGATAGTTCAAATGAATTTTTCAACTTTTTTTATAAATTCGAAAATTATATCTTACATATGATATTGTATAATTTTATATTGTGATATACATATACACACACACATAAAAAAGATATATATCAACCGTCTTTTATATTTTGATTGTTTGAGAAAAGGAAATTACATGAAATATTGTATATTAATGCGAACAAAGTTCTTAATGATATAGTGACTTTGATGTTATTAAGATTGTGATCATGATTGGAAGAAAAGAAACCAACATATAGCAGCATAGACGTTTTTTTTCAATATTTAGCATAATATTTTTGGATTTTTAGTATTTTTATCTACGTATACGTAAGTAGATCACGATATAATATTAATAACGTTACAATATAATACTTTATATATTAAACGTTATTAATATATATTACATTATATATTAAAGCCAATGTTATTTAATACGTCTATATAGCAGATTATTTGATAATAGATTTTATTATTTTTGTGAATGAGAGTATTTGGATTTTATCGCATACATTATATATTTCCTTCGTCATATAATTGTTGTTGATATATATAATTTGTTATATATATAAACAATCAAAAATTTATGATATACATGAAGTGTTTAATTTAAAATTATTTTTCTTTGCAGTACTATTATACAACTCGTACCAGAATATTTATACAAGATCTAAGTTTCCAAACCAAACATGACGGAGGACATGTTAGGTACAGATATCTGCCGGGTTTGCCGGTCAGAAGGTTTCGCAGATAGACCTCTTTTCCATCCATGTATTTGCACTGGTAGTATTAAATGGATTCACCAAGAATGTTTAGTGCAGTGGATGCGATATTCCCGGAAAGAATATTGTGAACTTTGTGGATACCGTTTTTCATTTACACCCATATATAGTCCAGATATGCCACGACGCTTACCATTAAGAGATGTTGTTGGTGGTTTGTTTTCAAGTATTATTACAGCTGTTAAATACTGGCTACATTATACTTTGGTAGCTATAGCTTGGCTTGGAGTTGTTCCATTAACAGCTTGCCGAACATATAGAGCTCTCTTCAGTGGACCTTTTGATTTAGTTAGAGTAAGAAATATTTGTTCTATTATATATATATATATATATATATATATATATATATATATAATCTATATTGAAAAAAATATCTTTTAACATTAATGTCATAATTTGAACAACTAATTTTTATATTTCAATTTTAGATAATGTCACTACCAATGGATATACTATCTACAGAAAACATATCATCAGATGTGTTTCATGGTTGCTTTGTAGTAACTTGTACATTATTTGCATTTATTGGTTTGGTATGGTTACGAGAACAAATCTTACATGCTGGTGGTCCAGATTGGTTAGAAAGAGATAATATTCAATTACCTCCAATTGATAATCCAGCACCAGCAGTAGCTGTAGTAGCAGCTCAACAAATCCAAGAACAACAGAATCCAAACCAACCAGAAGAAGCTCAAGATAATAATAATGTACCACCTTTTGTTGACGATCCACTTGTACCTCAGGAAGGCGAACCCAATCATGAAGGTAATTTAATTATTTTAGAATTTATATATGAATAAATAAATTTGAGAATAAATTTGTCAAGAATATTATGATTTCTTTTAGGTGTAGCAAATGTAGAAGCTAATATAGCACATCCTCTATATCATGAACTAGGGGATAATCCAATAAATGATGCAAGAATGGAAGAAATAGAAGGTTTAGGAAGAGACATAGAACCACCAATCCCTCATAGGGAAGAATTGAATGTTGATGCTGAACATCCTAATCCTGCAGTTGGTGATGGTTGGAGAGGTCAAGTACAAGGTCAAGCCCAAGGAGAAGCAGAGGAAGCTAATTGGAACCCTATGGACTGGGATAGACCAGCAGAAGAATTAACTTGGGAACGTCTGTTAGGATTGGATGGTTCACTTGTATTTTTAGAACATGTCTTCTGGGTTGTATCTTTAAATACACTATTTATTATGGTAAGTTCTTTTGATATTTTATTATTTGCACAATATTTTTTTAATGCTAAATTTAAGAATATTTATCGTCATTATGGTTTTATTACTTTAATTAAAATTCTATATAATTCCAGGTATTTGCTTTCTGTCCATATCATATTGGGCATTTTGCTATAGCAGGATTAGGATTACAAGAACATGCTGCAGCTTCTCATTTTGAAGGTTTAGTAACTACATTGTGTGGTTATTGTGTCATTGGAGTGTGTTTAGTCGTTTGTCACACTCTTGCAGCTTTATTAGGTTTTCAACGATCTCAGAGAATTCTTGGACTCTGTTATGTTATAGTAAAAGTTTCTCTACTATCGGTAGTTGAAATTGGTGTGCTTCCATTAGTTTGTGGATGGTGGCTGGACATATGTTCATTAGCAATGTTTGACGCAACACTACGAGATAGAGAAGCGTCTTTCAGCCTTGCTCCTGGAACTTCTATGTTTATTCACTGGTTATTAGGAATGGTTTACATATATTATTTTGCATCGTTTATACTACTTTTACGAGAAGTTTTGCGACCTGGAGTACTTTGGTTTTTGAGAAATTTAAATGATCCTGATTTTTCTCCAATACAAGAAATGATACATCTTCCAATTTTGAGACATGTACGAAGACTTGTTGCATCTGCAATCATTTTTGGTACAGCTATTTTATTAATGTTGTGGTTACCAATAAAATTATTGAGATGGGCTTGGCCAGGATTTTTGCCATATACAGTCACTGTTCAAAGTGAAGCTCAGGTAAAATTAATCTTATCAAAAATACATCATATATATTAATCTATTTATATTAATATTATTCAAATAAAATATTCCATATTTAAAATTAGGTGAGCGAGTTGTCCTTGGAACTACTTTTACTACAAGTCATCCTTCCTGCACTCTTGGAACAATCTCATACACGCACATGGTTAAAAGCCCTTATAAGAGGATGGTGTCGAGTTGTTGCATGGATGTTAGATCTTCAATCATATTTATTAGGCGATCAAGTAGAGGAACCAGGCCCAGCAGTTATCGAGGAACCACAACATCCAGATTTGGGAGCAGCTCATCAGGCACTAATGCAAAGAGAAAATCCAACTAGTTTCCAACCATATACTAGACCACGATGGTTTCCTGCTCGCTTGATTGGTCTTCTATGTTGTGTTTGCATTTCACTCGTTATAGCTAGTTTAATTGCTATGACTCTTCCCGCTTGGTTAGGAAGAAGAGTAATGGCATTATGGATGGTCGGAGCACCTGCGCCATCGCCACCTGTATTGCCACCTACATTAACTGGTTCTGGTAAACTTAGATTTATTTTTATAACTATTATTTAATATAAAATAGTGTCAAATATCTATATATATGATTTTTGTTAAAAAAATATTTACTACTTCCAGATGGAGATGAAAGTATGACTGCTTTGTTCGGAAGAGTACACGAAGTATATACAGTTGCCTGTGGAACGTATGTATGTTGGGCTGCAGTACGAGGTTTGGCATTAGCTTTTTCGTGGTTACCACGTGGTCGTAGGGCCATCCTTGATAAAGTAAAGCACTGGGTTATTTTGGGATTGAAAGCTTCAGTTGCATCTATTTTGCTCGTTGGGGTTATTCCACTATTATTTGGTCTTCTTCTTGAATTAGTTGTTATCGTTCCATTGCGGGTGCCTTTAGAACAAAATCCTGTTCTTTTTATATGGCAAGACTGGGCTTTGGGTGTTCTATATACTAAAATAGCAACCGCTCTTACTATGATGGGTCCTGATTGGAGAATACGTTTAGCAATTGAAAGAGCATATAATGAAGGAATAAGAGAAATGGATTTAAAATTTGTAATTACAGAATTAGCAGCCCCAGTTATATGTTGTTTTGGCCTTGCCCTTGCTGTTCCTTATGCTGTGGCTTATGGAATAGTGCCACTATTTGTTACCAATCTCCAAACACAAATACTTATTGCTAGACGTTTGTACCCTTTCCTACTCCTAGTAAGTTTGGTTTGTATAGTCATTTACTTTCAAATACGTCAATTTAAAAAATTATATGAACATATTAAAAATGACAAGTATCTCGTGGGTCAGAGACTTGTAAATTATGAACACCGTAATAAACCACAATCCCAGCAATCACAAAGATCAAGCTAACGTCATCAGTAAATATTCTTGTATTATTAGGGTGAAAGGAGTCTTAGGATTAGCTTCATGTACATTCTTTAACATGTTTAATTATGATGAATTATAAGTTAAGTAAACGATGCTTTAATTCTTATTATTATTATTTATTAATGTAAGCGATACTCAATAAATCAAAAAGATTGTTATTTAAATGTATCGCTTTTGAGTTTGATGCATATATTACTAAATTTTATATCTTGAAATAAATTACACTGACAAATTGCTATTATACTATACAATGAATTTGAAACAATGTTTTATTTTGAATGTTGATTTGAAATAAGCGGATAAATGAAAATAAAGTACAGTATAACATTTTTCATTTCTAAAATGTATTAAATGATTTATCATGGGTCTTTATAGATTATAATAACAAATTTACAAGTTAAGTATAATTATAATTAAATTAGGTTATCAAATCAAACCTATTTTTAACTATTCCTTGTTTACCTGTATTTTGTGAGAAAATTAAATCAAAAGAGTAAAATATTTTCACAAAACAAATATGTATAAGCTAATAAAATGAAGTATTATTATTACAAATTTATCTCTTTCACATCATATCTTTTTATAAATTTTAAAAATAATTATATTGTGTTATGTGCGAAACATTTCTTTATTTAAATAATTATCAGGATTTTAATTTAAATAGTATTAAATCGGAAATTTTGAAGAAATGTTGGATTATACAATAAATAAATAATTTTTTCTTATATATATATATAAAAATATACAGTAATCCCTCCATTTACGTGAATTATTTTAACATGCTTGATCTACCAGAGCTCATATATCACCACAATGTGTTATGTAAAAATAAATTCGAGGATTTTACAGAGCAATTTATTTCGTAAATGATTTTTCTACTCCGTTAAGAGCTAAATATATATTTGAGAATGTGGAATAAATCCTTATTTTAAATGAATTTTCATGGTTCCATTTATGCACTGTTTTTGTCGAAACAATTACCCATAAATGAAGGGATTACTATATATATTAATTTGTAGTTAACGCATACAGTTACTAACAATGAAATTCGCATTGTTTCGGTCAGAAGAGAAGAAAAATGATTGATCGATCATTTTTTATCTTCTCGATAAAATCTTTATCCTTTTTGATGATCGACGATTGCACCAACTTTTAAAAATCGGGATAAGGCCCTGTAGTAATTGTCACGAAAGAATAACAAGGACTAACGTCGTTGCAATAATGACTCATATTTATTTAGATTTAGAAATCAAGAATTAATAATAATAAAAAAAACTTTACAAAAATATACGCATGTGTTCATATATATAATTTTCTTTTTTGATAAATTTATATTATCATAAATAAAATTGGAACGTCAGACCATATTCGGAATATGTTTAATTATTTATGGATGCTTGTGATTTTTATATTTTTGCAATCTTAACGATCTCTAAATTTGTTTATAAGTTTATTTATATTCTTATGCAATTTTTGAATGTAATTTTAAACGAGTTTTACTATCTAAAAATAAGAGAAAGATCATTATTTTTCCAAAATAAATATACTTACTTATTTTCTTTTCTTTTTATCTTCTTTTAGTATGAGAAAACAATTTTTTCTAAATAATGTTTAAATAATTCAAACGTCCAAATAAATTTCAAAACAAAAAATACATAACTCAAATTAAATTCGTGATCACCGACTAAATTAAAATATTAGATTTCATTGATCAGATTGAAAATTCAATGGAATTCAAGTTCTTCATAAAAAGAATAGAAAAAAATAAATTAAAAAACAAAAAGAAAAACAATTTGCATTCTTCCATTTATTTATTTAAAAACAAAAAAATCACTTCTATCATAAAATTATTGCTAAACATGAACTAACTCTTTTATTTGCATTGTCGTACAATTTTAAATAACTTAAACGATTTCCTTTGGATATCATAACATTTGAAATTCTCTTGTTTAAAAAAACCAGAGTATGTCTTTTTTGTGTATATATAATTATAATAATATCAGAACAATTTCATGATTACTTCGTACTTCATATCTTTATTTTTTTGTCAAACATGATTATAATCCGTCATTAACTGTTTTCTTCACCGAGGAACATAAGCATCAAAATTTATATATATATTTTTATCATGTGTAGACAGGTTTGTTTATTAGTTTTTGTATTGTGTAGCATGTGTACGCGTTTATATATTTTAATTATATTTATATATATATCAGTTTCTCATAAAGTGTATACGTATGTGTGTGGTTCGCAATCCTATGGTGGTGGTCGCGCAACTAAATTTGAATTGCAGAAATTTGAGCAAAATTAAACAATTTTTGGACGCGCAACGACCGAAAATAATTTAAAAACCAGTTTAGTAACACTATACGTATAAAATTATCTATGAATTTACGTCACCAATTAGAAAGTGTTGATAAGTCCTGATATACAAAATAAAAATAAAAAATGTAATTCACATACTTGTGCGTAATGTTTATTAATCGATTACACTTTTGTTATATGCGTGTGTATACGCGCGCGCGCGCGTTTATGTATGTATGCATTTATGTATTCGCTTTCATGCTGTTGTTAAATGTACAAAATATTGTTTAAAGACTGCAATTTATTCTATATGAATATAAATTGATTCATCATCATTATGGTAGATAATTAACGCACATAAAAATACTTAGAAAAGTTTTCATTCGTTTAAAATGAGAGAAAAGATAGCAGTAAGAGAATCTTTTCTATCCGTTAATTAATGCACAGGCTACACAAGAATGATTTAGAAAAACATTTATAATCGTTAATATCACTTGCAATTAACAATTTTGATTATTACTGATATTCAATGATTAAAATATTTTGTTTAGTTTATTTCGAAGTAACGTTATCTCTTTATTAAGACGTGTTTTATTATTTTAAAACGATCGGAATTTATATTTACGCATCAATACGTGTTAATTAACAAATTTTTTAGATATTTGAAAAAAGAATAAATATAATTTCGTTTTTTTTCTTCAACGTAATATGTGCATATACATCTCATATTGTGTACTACCTATGTTTGTATTTAAATCTATAAAAATATATTAGAAGAAATTTGTATCGACGAGAAGCCATGTTTCAGTTTCTGTTTTTTTTATTTTTATACTTTTTTAACTTATATAAATTAATTGTTCATCGTTTAAACAATAATGATGAAAGCATATTAAACAAAAGTAATCGTTAGAAAACTAAAATTTTAAAAAAACTTATTCGTTCGCGACGAGTTCTTGCGCAAGAACAATTTTTAATAATTATAAAAAAAATGTTTCTCTCTCTCTCTCTTGCACTATATTTTTTTATTTTTTGGAGAAGAATTTTTCATTCATATATCGAACCATGTAGAGTACATAAAAGCATTTTACAAATCGTATTTAAATAACAACCTTGGATTCAACCAATGGAACATGATTTAAGATTGTAGAAATTTTTTTCGTTTGTTCTTTGTATTTTAGTTTAAATAATAAGCGCGTTATCGGTATTATATATATTTTGCAATTAGATAAGATATTTAATAGTGTATCTAAAAGAAGTGTTATTTTTTATAAATTTAATCGTTATCTTCGTATAAAGACTCATACAATGATTAAACAAGAGATTTATATATATATATATATATATATATATATATAATGAACCAAATTAAAAATGAATATTACCAAATAAATTTTCAGTAACTCATAGAAAATCAGGAAATATATAGATAAATAATTGTATAATATATATTCAGAAGCCGATAAAAATTTTCATTGATCATATATAATAACAGCAATATTTACAATTGAATTAAATCTAATTAAACTTTTGTAAGATATATATTTTTCTGTAGTTAAAATTTTTTTCTTTTTCATGAGAACTTTCTTCCATAATAATTAATCAATTATTAACATTAATCTCGCCGAGGAACGATATAATTGAATCCTGTTATATTCGAACAAAATAAACGCAACAGAAGACAATGAGGAAAACAATTGATTATCTTACAGAAAATATTTCAAAGTGCAAGTTTATCTAACGTTTGTAATATTTATTATTTTTCATTTTACAAAAAGGAAAATAAAAATTTGGAGAAAAATAAATGCATCATTTCAAATGATTAGAATTTTGAATGATCAAATAAATCGATATCAAACGACGTTAAAACGGAAATATTAAAGAATTTAAAAACTCATTGTGATAACAATAATACAAGAATAAAAAAAAAGAAAATTCTCATGTAATAATCTCAATTAAATTCCGAACGTTTCTTGTTAATATATAGAAGATGGAACATGTAATTGTGCATGCATATGTTTACATGTGTACTTGTTTTGTTTGTGTAGTAGACGGGAGTGCAGGGAGGAGCGTCTTATTTGGATCTTTATCAGAATATAATGTGCAAAGATTTAACGAGGCGGGTATCGATTGAATAAATTCGGTCTGTTTTTGTAAAGCTACTATTACATGATTTTATAAATACACAACTCCGATTACTTTCGTCGTTAATCCGTTTGATGATGATAAGGCGCATATGTCCATGAGGAACAATGTTTTAATGTTATTCTCAAACATATGATCTCAATTAAAATATTACATACGTTGGTTGTAGATATTGCTAACAGACTGAAAGCAGCGCACACTTTTTTTTTCTTTTCTTTTTTTTTTTTGTTACAGTTGAAGCAATCGATTCGTTTCAGGCGCGGCAAAGTTATATATATATACATATATAAAAATTGATCTTGCAAATAGAGTAGTCCTCTCGATGTAGTTGTTATATCCATTCATTTTTGTTGTTACACCAGGTCACAGGAAGTACAATAATTAAGTCGTCATCGTCAACGTCATCGTCGTTGCGTCGTCGTCGTCGTCGTCGTCGTCGATCCAAGAATTGCATAAAATTCATGATGATGATTATTTTTTTTTTTTAGAGTTTCGAAAGATAAATTGTTATAATCCATATATCAATATAATAATAATTCATGTGTTTTCTTCTTCATGACACAGAAAATATGTATAATATCGTTTCGTGTCTTTCGTTTGCAGTAGTCTCTCTTCACTTCTCTTCTTTTCTCTTTTCTTCTTTCCTTTTTGTTTTGAAATAACCGTCGTATACAAAGCTTTTTGTTCTCAAATTTTTCTTTCACCTCTTTTTTCCTTTTTCTTTCTTTCTTTTTCTTTTTCTACGGCAATATTAAAATCGCACGTTCATTAATAACTAGCTGTATGAACGAATAGTACATTTCACACATTTTCAATAAGGTGGGGGAGGGGGAGAAAGGATTGTATTTTCTTTGTTTTTCTTTTAGATACACTCGAGTCTTCCTTCTTACTATACAATCGTATAAATTATATGAGTGGCTGCCTAATCTCAAATCATCTTATTCTTCTCCGTTTTCTTCTTTTTTCTTTTTCTTCTTCATCGTCTTCATCTTCTCTCTGGTACGATGAACATTTTAATTGTAAATCTTAATGGCCTTTTCGAGGTAGTTGATACGTGAGCGCTTAGGCGCTTTGTTGACGTGTTCCAGACCGAGCCAAGGCCTATGTGGCGATGCGCCTGCGTTTAAAAATGGATAAACTACAATATTTATTTTTAATCAGAGTTAATTTGAAACGAGTGTGTTCCAAAAGCAAACAAAACTTCAACATGCAGCATTACAATTGTTATTTATATCAATTTGTTTACATAATTTAATGAAAGAATAGATTACTGAAACTTCTGTATGTGTACGTACAGTGACTCACGAAAGTATTTAAACATTTGCCATGATATATTTTATTAATTACAATAAGTATATTATAGAACACTTACTTACATATTATTAATATTGGATGGAGGACTCTCTAGATTATACAGGTATAGTTTCAAGCAAATCGAAATATATATACAATAGTCATGATTTATTTCTTACAAACGTAACGATTGCTGAAGCCACAAAAGTATTTGGACAGATAATTCTTATGCCTTTAATATTTAGTAGAACCACCTTTAGCACGAATAACATCTTATAAGCGATTATGCATACTCTTTACTAAATTTTTCGTAATACTCGGTGATATGGAACTCTGTACTCCATCCAATATTAATAATATGTAGGTAAGTGTTCTATAATGTACTTATTATAATTAATAAAATATATCATGGCAAATGTTCAAATATTTTCGTGAGTCACTGTATATAATTTTAAAGATTATCATAAAATTATATGTAAAGAAAAATGTACACTTACTATTTTGACTCAGATGAGTTTGAAAATCGGCGATGTCGATGCAACTATCCGGGGATTCGGTAATGAATTGTGGTTTGCCCATCGTAACCACCGCGAACTTAAACTTCAAAGTTTTTTTATGAATTCTCATAAAAGATCAAACGAAATTAGATTAGGATGCCTACCTTTTCGAATTCCTTTTCTTGTACACCAAGTTTCTTCAATAATCTTTCCTTCATCTTTGGAAATGGTTCACCCTAGAAGATAACATTATCAATCAAAATATCTATCATTTTAATGAATGCACTTTCTAATTCAACTTAAAATAAAAAAAAAAAAAAAAAATAGAAAATAGAAATCATTTGAATATTATAAAGAATGCTTACGTGTTTGATTTTAAAGAAGAATGGTATACCAAACGTTGAGAAAACGTCTTTGTGAAAATGCGCAACTGGAACTAACATTTCATCGTCCGCAAGATTGAGCTCGTCAGTTGGTATTTCTTCTATCCTGTACATTTTAGCGCCCGATATGTTTAAGGTATCTAAAAGTACGTCGTCTCTAGGACCGGGAAACAATTTATTACAGGTGATTTCTAATATCCTTAATTTTCCTGAGCCATTTTCAGATAATTCCACTTGTTTCTTAGCCTCTTCCAGTAAGGTAGCGACAGTTCCGTTTTTATTTGGGTAAAGTATTATCTCTTTTTCCTCTTTTAAAGATGGCCCAACCCATATACATTTGAATTGCTTTTTATTTTCAAGTTCGTTAACTCTAATACTAAGCTGCTGGTAAAATAATTTCTTTACTTTAGGTTTACCGTATGAAAACAATTCTTTAAGATTGCCCTCAAAATTACATTTCAATGCAGATCCAGGAGAATCCTTGTAACTATAATTAAGCATAACATGTATATATGATTTCTATGTAATATATATTGAGAGTCACGCGTGTATATTCGCACACATACACTGTTATATAAAGAGCTTTGAAAAGGTTTTACCTTTGACACCTAAAGAATTGTAAAAGATATGGGTCCGTGCCTACGCGTTGCGCTACTGCATTAGCCATTTGATCGTATGACATTCTTAATGAAAGCTCCATTGTAAAGCCAGGATCATTCGGAATAGTTTTATCGCAAAATGTAACTTCTACCCTGGAAAATAGGTCCCTGAAAATATCAATAATGTGTTAATAAATGTTCTTTTGTATATTCCTTTCATATATAGGGTCTCAGATGATTTTTTGTACAAACGTTATGAGTATATTCTACATTCAAAAATAAGAAAAATGATTCTATAAACATTTAAAGCTTTATTCAAAAATATTTTATACTTACTTAAAATATTCTTTGCAAGTTGGAAGGTCATATTTTTTATTATCTCCTTCCTTCTGAAATACTATAATATCACCGTCCATTAACTCCTCGAGTACTTTCTCCAAAGGATCCAGCAAGTTTTCTATTTTTTCAACTAAGTTTGGTTTTATTTCTTCATATAAAGCTAGTTCTGTGTTCGGTGGAAATCCAGCCCTTTCATTTAAAATTGGTATGAGTTCCACTGTACAAAACCGTCATAATAATTATTTTCCACTATTACATAAAAATAAATAGGTTATATTAAAAAGGATATTAAAAGTAATAATGAAAGAGAAAGACAGAGAAAAAGATATATAAATATTACAAAAAAATATAATTGTTAAATGTTTTTTACGTTCTCTCATTTAGAAACTATAATTTATATCAATATCTGTACCAATTATAACTATAAAAATTAATACATATATAAAACAGTTTGAGAAATATACATTCATATATTAATTAATATAATCGTATTTTATATGATAAATATAAACTTACGAACTCTTGCAACCACAGGCATATAATGATGACCACAATAATGAATTTTCTTATTTTTGGGATCATATAGTTTAAAAAACAATAAAACATCAGTGTCCTTATCAAACGGTGGTAATGCTGTCAATTCTGAATCCGGAGGGACGAGTTCTACAAATACGTTCCAAGGATTCGCATTATCCGCACAATCGTACAATGATTTTTGGAGATCTGCTTCTGGCTCGATCAACGTTGGTCTGCAGGTTTGATTCGTACGTATACTAAACGGCCAAACGCGAATCTGTTCTATCGGATATCTCTGCAGAAAGAATTGAAATATCATATAAACTTGTTTAAACGCATGCACATACACACATACGTATGAGTTGCAGGATCTTAATGAAATTATAGCTTGCAGGAAACTTAAAAGTCTACCGTAATTTACTTCATTTCATTCAAATTTAAAACAAAAGTTTATGCGTTTATTATATATAGAAAAAGTTAATTGAAATGAAACTGAAATAGAACATCTTGTATTCTTTTTTAATGAAAAGATAAATAATAATAATAATATATGCACATATATTTAATATGCATTAGAAATAATTTAAAATAAAATAACATTAATTAAATTGCATATCATAATTAATTAGTGTTTACAAAGTGTTTCACGCCTAAATAATATTTGGAATAAGCACTTACCAAACTATCACTTAGAAGTTCAAGAAACTCGTGGACAGTTCCCTGCTTACGTACGCGAAATATACGAAATGATGCGTGCTCCGGGTCGTATAGATCATTTCCTTGGTGACCATCGAAGCTATCCTCAAGAAGAACGTTAATTGTCATATATAAGGGTGCTTCTGATCTCTCCTTTCTTCGTATTTGTTCCAGCCTCTTCTCCTCTTGAAGTCTCTCCACCAGCTAGACCAACAAAATTAAAATTATCTATATGCAAAGAATGTTTGGATTCATCTCACTTTTCTTTTATTTTTTTGTCTCATTTTTTTCCTTCTTAAACGTTCTTTTTTTTATTTACTTTTTTGGAAATTCTAAATATTTTGCTTCTTTCTTGTAATTTTGACAAGAATATCATATAAGGAATTAATGGATTAATCGTCATACTTTTGAAATTCGAAATTAAGCAACATTCCAAACATCAAAAGGATGAATTACGTTTGATCATTTACATAATTTTAATTTTGTTCATCAGCCGCAATATATAGACTACCAAGTTAAACATTTACATTATGAGAATTATTCAGTGGGGAGCGATGGACTTACTTAAGTCTGATATATACACACATGCAATATATAAATATAAATATTAAATATTAATAATTTACTCGATAATCAACTTTTCCACGACATTTTCTTTCATTTATGCATTCAAATGCTTAAACCAATTCGACTGAATCATAGAAAGCAAGACATGTTAACATTCCTTTTTAGGATATGTACATATCAGATCTTTCTATGTTAAAGCAAATATTTATTAAAGAAATGAATTGATATTAACAATTCAAGTAAAATAAAAAAATAATAATAATAATAATAATGTCGATGATGATGATGAAAAAAAATCAAATCAAATGAATAGGCCATCACTCAAGCCGAATAATAGCAAAGATGTAATGTCTAACTATAGTAGTGTGGAGATGCTATATTGAAACAAGATTTGTCGAATAAATGCTCAGAGTTATGCCTGAACATTACACATCGTTTTTTCTATTGGTGAACAGATATTGAAACGGTGTAAATAACTAACGTAAATTCAAACTGTCAATTTTTCTAGCATCTAACAGTTTATTCGTTATTTTTTTCATTTTTATATATAAAATAGTAAGTATAGCATTTTAAAGATATTCCACGATTATATCTACCATAACGTATCTCTATATTATTGATGATAGTTTGCCTCTTCTTTCTTTCTTTCTATTTTAATATTATGTAACAACAAATAAATAGATAAGCATCTGTTAAGAAACATACTCACTATTAACATTGAGAGAATTTAATGATTAACGAGTTGTTGTTATTATTGTTTTTTTTTTGTTATTTCTTTCTCTTGTTGTTATTTTTATTGAATTCGGACTTTATCGCGCAGCACTAAATTCTTGATTCATTATTTATAATAAATAGTAAATATTGATTCAAGAAAATGAGCAAAAAATGTAAATATTATAAATCACATTACTCCTCACTCACCAAACAATCCTTCTTTTTTTTTTTTTTTTTTTTTAAATAACGAATACAATGTAGAAGACGTAAAAAGGAAGCCAATGGTGCCAAAAATACCAGATGTTTTTTCTCTCTGTTTTTTTTTGTTATTTTTTTTTAACCTGTCACTAAATATTATGTATTATTTTTCATTGCGTTTAAGTTATATTATAAATATATATATATATATATTATATACATATATATATAATATATATATGTAACTATTATCACTGCACTCGATTTAAGAGACTTTCTTTCTTCCCCCACTGTTATTATCTCCTTTACAATTATGCAAACATATCCAACTAAAATTGAAGATATGTGTGTGTGAGTGTGCAGTTTTCTCATTTGAAGCTTCCAACATGATACTACAATTACAATCATTAATTTCGAATATATTTTACAATGTTTATTACAATAAAATCATTTCAATAATCATTCGAAGGCTTGTCCCGGTATTTTACCCCAATAATCAGGCTTTTTAGATTAATTTGATTCTACTAAAAAAAGAGTCTTTGACAGCGACTAAAGTGCAACGCGTACCTTAGAATATTGACTCTTTTTTTTTTTTAATTATATGTTATTACTTTTTTGAATTCTAATAAAATCTATCAAAAATTTTTCTCATCTTTTTCTTACGTTTTTTTTTATATATAAAATTATCATTGATTCAGATTAAAAATAAAAATAAAAATTAGAAATAGAATATTATTCACACACGTCTCGATCGTCCGTACAGAAAAATCTTGGTTAAAAATAGTTTCGGAAGAAGAAAAAAGAGAGAGAAAGAGAGAGAAAGAGAGAAAGAGAAAGAAAGTGAGAAGAAAAAATCTTCTGAATCATACAAAACAAATCTCTATATAACATGATTTAGAATACATATTTTTGCAAAAAGAGTTTTTACAAATAACTTTATAGAGTAACTTTGATCTTGTATTATTACGCAACATCGTATGCTTTGTAATAGTAAATAATGCACAGGTAGCACCGTAAGTAAAAGTGCTACATATTATATTATGCAACAAATTATGCTTGTGTCTAATGGGAAAAATTTACACGATATTTACTTCCCGTTCTCATCAAGAGTATGTGATAAAAAGATAATTACAAATGCTTAAAAATATATATATGTATGTATGTATGTATGTATGTATGTATGTACGGACAACAAAGTATTAATTATTAATTGGATAAAATTGGCAAATCTCACTTTCTGATCAGTCCATGTATTTAAAAAGAATAAATAGTTAAAATTATTTTTTGCTACCTTTATATATATATAAAAAAAAATATAAAAAATAATAAAGAGAAGAAAAAAGAAAGAAAGAAAAAAAAATCAATGAAGTTATATCTAATTTTAAGTATATGCTGGTTTCATGATGTTTGGTTTGTTGCTTTCATACACTGTCATTTTTTTTCCTTTTTTTTTTTTTAGTAAATATATTAGAAGCAGACTTGATATAACTTTAAAAAGTCAGATCATTTGCCGGAAAGCAATGAATATAATTTACAAGTTGTTTCATCTAGTCATTTATCCCGTTTTCTGTAAGTTAAAAGTCATGAATACAGAGATTTGGGTTTCGTGGATTTTGCGTGCACGGACGAAGAGACGCAGTTTCTGTATGCGAGTCTTTAATTGTATCAGTTGCGTCTTTGTCGCGTTCAAGGTCGTTCATTTCCTGGGAAAGTTCTCTTTGAAGGACGTTTCTGACCTCTTGAGGTATATCCTCTTCTTTGACTTCTTGCAAGACGTTTTCCAACTCGGAGTTCCTTATATAAACCAGCATATATGCATTCGTACAATGCTTCACAGCCATAGACATGTCCTCGTCTTGACCACCGTAATTATGTTCAATGGCCTCTTGTTTTGTACACCGCGAGACGACATCATCATCAAATTTGCACCACTGATATGAACGAAAAGAAAAAGAATATGTTTTTCAACTTTTATGGCCAATCTTTTATCTGGTTTGTTAAAAATTATTTAAAAAAAATAACAACATTTCTATTCAATGTTGCTATCCATAAATCAATTTATTTGAAAACAAAATAGTAAATATAAAAGAAGAAACTTTTAACTTACCTTCCCATCTCCACTAGGATTAATAAATACGACATAATGACCGCCATGATTGTCCCCACTATGTACGAGAACTGCGTGCAAAGTATAATCTGCACTTCCTCTTGCAGGATCTTTATTTTGCAAGTATTTGTCGAGATTAATTTTTTCATAGAATTCAAACCTTCAAAAACGAACTCATTTAATTAATATCATCACATTTGTATTAGTTATTTACTTGTAATAATATCACTAACCTATCATTAAATTTAACTGAACAATCTGTAACCGGGTCATACTGAAATCGCATTAAATGTAAATGTAAGACAGGTGGGAACGATGAGAAAATAACACCTTTTTCTGCTTCTTGCAAACCATGCTCTCCCGCGTCATATTTGTTATCTCCATCAAGACTTTCAGTGCTCACATAATCGCTAAAAGATTCGTATACTGAAATGCAAATTATATGTTAATTTTAAGTAGAAAGAAATATGCTAAATAATAAAAATACAATCAATGAAGTGGTAATTTAAAATAAATAAAACATACTGTTTTTCTTTCCTTTTATATTCAATTGTATATCGTAAAAAGTTTCTTCTCTCGTAGACTTGTATTCTATATTCTTGCATTTGATAAAGGACATCATTTTTCCTTCAAATAATTTTGGCACTGTACCTTCTACACACGTACCTTTCATTTTGCTCTCTAATTTATCTAACAACTATCATACAATATTCAATTAATATCAATTTTCTCGATATTTCGCAAAAAGAGAATTAATACAATTTATTAAATTTCGATTGAATCTTACCACGCGTAAAAATTCTTGTACGTCGTGCTGCATAAAAGAATCCAACGTTTCCCATCCAAAACTTTTAGTCAACTTTTTTGTCCCAACAGGTTTGTCAGAAAATTGCAATTCATGAAAAACCCTCTGTAAAGCCAATGCTACACTTTTGCTGGAATCGTCGCTTTCAGTTGGCATTTTATACACTGCTTTACGTAGCTGAAAATTTGTATTATATATTATGTTACACGTGAAATTTATACATCATATCCGATCAAACTAAATATAATCAGTATTCAATATACCTGATTGGTGAAGTACAAGGTCTGAAGTAAAGAATTCATATAACATGTAGCTCCTTGATTTTTTAAACCTACATGTCCCGTATGTTTTTTACTGTCCCAACAAACACCGTGTGGTGCATCAGCTATTACATGAACCTAGATATTTAAAAATTAAAATTAAAAAAAAATACATTGGTTTTAAAGCGTGACTGATACATTAATAATATTCATATACTAACCTCCAGAGTTATAGAATCGTCTTTGATATAACCTTTATCTGGATCCAATACTTCTTGCCATGTCATAAAATGACTAAATCCCCAGTCATTCTCTCTACTATAGAAGAGATGTTGTATCTCTACGATATAAATATACATTTTATAATTAAATAATATTATAATACATTTAAAAAAGAAAAATAAATATTATTTATTAGCTTTTGTTATATTAATTGTCTTATACTTACTTCTACTAAAAGGTGGTTGTCCTTCTTTACAAGATAACAGTCGAAGTTCTGCCGTAGCAGAACAACTCCATGAAGTGGATTCACTCTCTCCATTACATTGTAAAAAAAAACCAAGTGATTTTTGTGACTGTCTTTCTTGAGTTGGACTAGATCTTGGCATCACCATTATTTTCCATGGTAAGTTACGAACAAAACAAGCGGGTGACAATTGAGATTCTTTCATTTTTGAAATAGTTTCAACTGTGTACCGAAACGTGGCTTCCGACCTTGCTTCATCTAATAAAGAAATAACTAAATTACAATTGAATTAAATTTCATATATTATAAGGAAATGAAAATAATTTCAGCTAACATTATAATCACATTAAATTGAAATAAACTCAAAAAGAGAGAGAACGACAAGAGTCTTATGCACGAATACAAAATATTATATTTTGAGCGTATACAAACATAACAAACCTTCCTCCATTTCTTGATCTTGTACTATACACGCTAATTCTTGTTCTCCATTAATAGGACGGCTCTCATTTGTATCCCCACCACCATCATTTGGTGTTTCTATAAATTGTAAGTGCAAGGTATAGTCTTATTAACTTTTAGCTTCCTTTATAATAGATAATAAAGCACTTATGATACTAATATCACAATATCTGAAAAATCTTAATTTTCCTTGTCAATTTCATATAACAAAGAACAGGGATTTAATTTAATAAATCAACGAGATGAAAATATCAAGAAGTAAGGTTATCTATAAACGAAAAGTATTCTTACTATTTCGCAAAGATATTTTAAGGATTTTGCTACATATTCCTGGAATATCTATTGTCGTAATAACAATGTACTTATAACAATAACATCGTTATGCAGCAAAATTATGTTACAAAAGAATCATTTCGTGCAATTTATCATACATTTCTTAAATCTTCAATATATGTAATCATGTTTAATTTTGCTATCTTCCATATTATTAGAAAATAATCAAACAATGATTTAAAACGAATAGTATAATATCAGCAATTATTTTATGCACATATATATATATATATATCTTTAAATTATTAATAAATATACTAAAACAACTATTACAGTGACGCAAAGAAAGAAAATAGATTAAATGGCTCTGATATAATAGTTTAGCGTAAAGCAACATCTGTTATTCTAAAATAAAATTATCTAATAATTCAACTATTAAACTACGATACTTTCTAAACAATATAAATTACTTTTATCTCCTTTAAGCTGATATGTTAAGCTGATATATCAAGCTATACTTAAATAAAAAAGAAAAGACAATGAGAAAAAATACCTTCGGTAAATTTAACAGTCATCCTGCAGTATAATATTTAACTGTTTCAAATAAAGATTGAATTCTCTGCAGTGATCAAACACAAATATTCGATTCGGTCAAGAAATGCAAATGAAAAAGAAACAGAAACATGTGTTCTTTAAACTCCTTATTCTTCAAATTCCGTTAGAACTAACTATTTCAAAGTTGATGGGTTCTTGGAGAAAAAAAGTTTACTAATAAACCCCCTCCGTTATAGCATCGTGGCAGAAAGAGAAAGTGAGAGAGAGAGAGAGAGGGAGAGAAAGAAAGAAGGAGAAGGAGAGAGAGAGAGAGAGAGAGAGTGAGAGAAAGAGGGTGAGGGTGAGGGAGAGAGAGAAAAGAAAGACAGAGAAAGAACGTGCATTCTTCCTTACAAATTGTATACATATCATATACATACATATATACAAGCGTATGAAAGGTAAAGAAAAAAGGACCTTAGAATAATTTTTAGAAAATTGTGTTAATATAAACGTGTCGTAGAAAATGAACGGATGTACATATTTTCAAAATGATGAACGCGAATGTTCCTCGACTTTCTCTGACCCCCGGGTATAGAAGAAAGAAGAAAAAAGAAAGAATAGAGAAGAGAGAAGAGAGAAGAGAAAAGAAAGAAAAGAAGAGAGTGAGAGAGATGGTAAGAGAAGAAAGGAGAAAGAGAGAGAGAGAGAGAGAGAGAGAGAGAGAGGGAGAGAGAGAGAAAGGGAGAGAAAGAGAAAAGGAAAGAAAGAAAAGGAACAAAAAATATCATGATCACAAATAGTTGTAAACGTGTTTTGATGTGTAAGTAACAAAGAGGTATGATAATATAACGCGTAGACGAGATTGAATCGCAAGAAAGAAAGAAAGAGAGAGAGAGAGAGAGAGAGAGAGAGAGAGAGAAAGAGAGAGAGAGAGAGAGAGAGAGAGAGAGCGAGCGTGTGTGTGTGTATGAGAGAGAGAGAGAGAAAGAGAGAGAGTAAGAGGAGAGTCGAGTCGAATAATAAAATAAAAAATGCTGCATATACATGTAAAAATATATCGGAAAACTACTTACCCTCTTGCGTGTCCATCTCCTCGACCTCGTTAACCTGAACCGGCGTCAGATTGAGCTGCTTAAGATTTTCCTGATCATTAACGTGGTTCATCGCGATGCCGATATTGATGGTCGTCTTGACTGCGCTAGGTACCTCGGAGGCGGGTACCGCCGTCGAGGTTATTTCCGCGGATACTTTGACCGGCGCTGCACCAGCGGTTAAGCTCCGTCTGCGAAGCTGCTGTTGTACAAGTATCTGCGTATTTTCGCGCGCGGGGTCGCTGCTCATCAGTTGCTGACGATGACGATGCTGCTGCTGCTGCTGTTGCTTTTGCTGTTGCTGCTGTTGATGATGATAATTATGGTGATAATAATGATGATGCTGCTGCTGCTGCTGTTGTAGCGGTGGCGGCGATGATGGTAGTAGAGGTGATGATTGCTGCTGTTGTTCTTCTCTTTTTTCTTCTTCTTCTTCTTGCTGTTGCTGCTGTTCGTTTTTCAATTCGATAGCAACTTGCAATCTATTCTGAATATTAGCGTCACTTGGACGACTTGAGAACGACGACACTACTTTAGCGCACGGCGAGGATTGATGATATTTGCTTGCAATTCGCCCAATTTCTGTTGCCATCAAATGCCCCCGTATTTTCGGGGGACGCCCACAACATATATTTGTTTAATTTAATTTTAACCCTTTGTGTACGTATATATATATATGTCTGTGTCGTCTGTCGTCTGTACGTATGTACGCGTGTTTATCTTCTTTAATCACGACGACGATCAGGTATTAAACACGAATGGCCACTTATTACAGGCAGTAGTATTTCTTCCTCTTCCTGCCTCGTCGTCCTCGTCGTCCTCGCCGTCGTGTCGTCGTAGTCGTCGTCGTTGTTAAAGCTTCGTTTATTCGTTGTTGTCGTCGCTGTAGTCGCTAGTAATGCTGCCAACGTCGTAGCAATGTTAGTCCATTTTTGTTGACTAGTTGTTTTATTATTATCCTTATCCCTTTTTGATTTTTCCAAAATGCAATATTTGCGGCTGGAATTAAGGGGTGGGGCGGGAATAGCGTAGATCGACTAACAAAACGATTTTCTTCAATGTGAAAATGCCGCGCGTGCGTTCTAATCTTAACGACATTAACTACAAATTATTCACGTTGATATAATACCTCCTCCTCTTTTTGGACTGCTATCTACTTCCTTCTATTACTCTTTTGCGTTCTTCTTTTTCCTTCTATTTCTTTCTTATTCTTCTTTATTCTTCTTTTCTTCCCCTTCCTCTTTCTCCGTTACTTCTTGGTCGTTGTGTCGTGCAACCAAAATGCGATATTATTAATCCGTATCGCTGGCGACGCTCACGCTTAAAAGCGGTCAACGGTTCTAGGTTTTTGATCTGTTTTCTTACTATGTTAGCCTATTAAATCGTATGGAGAAAGATATAGAATATATTTATGTATATGAGATTGGCATAGAAAGAAAAGACAGAGAAAGAGAAAGAGAAACAGATAAATAAATAAAGAAACAAGATATATAGAAAAGAGAGGAGAGAAAGAGAGACGATGAGTCGTTTCTTTTTCTCTTTTACATTTTCTACCTATCTCTCTCTTTTCCTTATTTTCTTTCTAATTCTTTTTCTCCCAAATTCGCCAAGATACACCTTTGCATGAAAATAAGCAAAATGGCAGCTAATAGTTACTACGTAGTAACTATTAGTTCCGTATATATGATTTTTTACATAAACATTTTCCCCCTTTTTATCTCTCAATCGATTCTCTTTTTCTATCTGTTTCTATTAATTGTTCTTTTTTTTAGCTCGTAAAATTGAATCTTTATATTTTGGATAAATAAAAACTCTCTTTCTTTCTAACTTTATTTCTTTTTCTTTCTAATGGAAGCACTCGTTGCACGCTTTAATGCAATTGACAGGATTACGATAAGATAAGAAAATATTTTTCAGGGTAATTGTAATGAACAATCAGAATGTTTTTTGTTTATATTTGTCTTCAATTAACGAATGTCTATTAGAAGTTCATAAAAATTACGATAAAAGTGATATAGAAAAGATATAATTTAGATAAAACTCAATTACATGTATATATTATTTATAAAAATAAAATTTCCCTAGTTTTTATGCGCTCCTATTGGCTGAAAGCGAGGGTACGTATCTACGAGCTAATACGAACATATGGCATTAGATTTATAAATTAAATTAAATGACATAAATATTACTCATTCTAAATATATAAAGGTATCTAATTAAAACGAAATGATTTACATGATTTGAATATTACTTTTATATGCTATACACCGAGTGCGCGCGCGCCGCGTGTTACTTTTTAATAAATACATACATAGATAGATGTGTGCATATAATTACACAGGTTTCACCCTTTCATCAAGGTCAACTACACTAATCCTATCAGAGCTTAAATAATTCAAGTTGGACTTACCGAGAAATTAATGTAATAATTGATCGAATATCGATTTCATTTAAATCCTATTCGATCAGTAGATGCAATAGGACAACGATTATTTTCATTTTCACTGAATTAAATTAGCATACGAAACTTGTTAAGGTTAATTAGTTTAACCTTAATATTTATAACAGTTCTTTTTTATTCAATCAATGATTTAATTTATTGAAATAATTAATTAACACATTTCACATGTTATTATAGTCTCTAATCGCACTATTACGCACTAATAATATTATAATGTTTGTAAGAGTAGTTTTCAAAAGTTTTAACGTCTTCATGATTCAGGCAGTATAACACTTAGCGACAGTTTAAATATACTTCGAAAAATATAAAGAATATGTGTATATACGTATAGTTTAAACCAAGAAGTCTGACAATGCCTTTCAGTCGTTGGATTATCTACTTAAATCGAGTAGAAATTCACTTAATAGTTTGTACATTATATGTAAGAACGGTATTATTTAGATATGAAGTCAAATTAAATAAATGACTATATGAGAGAAAGAAAGAGAAAGAGAGGGGGCGAAAGAAAAATAAAATAAAAAAATTTGTACGTACACTATATTTATATTTTAGGTCAGGGCTTCCATTCAGCGACTACCTTTATCTGAGTAAATATTTTTACATCTATGAATATGGAATCATAAACTAAAAATAGGAATTTAAATATTTGCTGATAATAAATAATGAAAAATATTTATTCGAAAACAATTCTTTGATATAAATATAAATATAATGTTACCATGTATTAAAGACAAAGCATAATTTCAGCAATCCTCAGAATTAGATACGCAACCCTACATGGGGTCTCCAAGATTGCGTTTGAGATCCAAATCCGTACTTTAGACAACAAATTATTATCTTTATCTTTTTATTTCCAACATTTTGATTTTATAATTAATTTTATTAATTCGTTATATATTTTGTGTTCGTACTTTCATAGCAAATAATAAAGGAGGGTGGTACTAATCTTCTGTCGTTGCTATAGCAACGATAACTATATTATTTGTATTGTAATACACGTTACTTGTTTCTAAACGAGTTTCCTAATTCAAGGTAGTGAAAAAGTTGCTTTTTTTTAACTGCAATCGAAACATTTAACATAAATAAAAATCTTATTGTAATTTGGATTTAATCAGAAGTATGGATATCAAACCGCTTGATTTAATCGGAATAATTGGATTCGATGGTTCGTACAATTCTTGAATTTTTTATTGTTTTCATTCAATACTTTTCTGTAAATAAATATATATATAGAATAAATATGTACATAATTTGTATTACTGTTTAAAATAAATTTACTGAAGTGATTGTGTTCTAATTTATTAACTTGAATTTGATTAATTAGGTGTTACGAAAAATGCATTAAGACTGCATCCTGATGAACAGTATTTAATTTATCCGATGGGGAACAAAGTGACGATTAAAAACATAGCCTCAAGTGAACAAACATTTTTAATTGGACATACGAATTTAATTTCTGCCGTATGCGTTTCTCCTTGCGGCCATTTTGTGGCTTCCGGGCAAATAAATCATCTCGGATTTAAAGTAATATTAACATAAGAATTAATTCCATTTTATTGACGATTCGAATTCATTCTTTCTATAATTTTTTTTATGAGGATGTCTTTTTTTTATACTAGGCAACAGTCATCATTTGGGATTATAAGACACGTACCGTTAAAAGTAGTTACGAAATTCATAAAGTAAGGGTCGAAGACGTTTGCTTTACATTGGATAGCAATTATTTGATAAGCCTTGGTGGAAGAGATGATGGTAACGTTGTAATATGGGACGTACAAAATAACCATGCTATGTGTGGTAAACAAAATTTTATCTTCAATCTATTTATATATGTATATATATATATTAAATGTATCGTCTAATTTTATCACTTAAAAAATTCACATTTTGGAACACTTTGTTTATATGTATATGTATGTGTTTACGTATACTTGATAATTTAATAACATTAAGATAATTTTCAGGATCATTTGCGAGTAATGAAATAGCTGGTAATACTTACACAATTACAAGAATGAATACACACGGTGAATGTTTCCTTACCGGTGGTGATAGAACCCTTAAAGTTTGGCGAATAGATTCGAAAAGAAGGAAGGTGTATGGGGTGAACGTGAAAGTAGGAAAGTTAAAACGTTCGATAAACTGTATCGCCATAAGTGAAAAAGATAATGATGCTTATTGTGGAACGTCCTCGGGCGATATAATAAAAGCAAGGTCTTGTTTAGTTATAAAACTAATAAATACAATTTTTAATAATCGATGTAAATTATATTTTGATCGATTATCTTTATGATTAATGAATTCATTAAAATTTGTTAACGTATATTTAACACGTAGATTGAATTATCGTCCTGAAGGTGAAGAACAAATAGAACCAGTGATGGTAGGCTGCTATTCAAAAATGTATAAAGGCTCAAGAAAAATTAATCCAGACAAGGGTCAAATCGAATGTTATGCTGGTGGTGTTAAAAAAATTTTGCTACTAAAGGATGAGAAAATGATCATTGGTGCAGGCGACGGTACGATTGAGCTCATTGAAATTGTGGATATTGATTTCAGTAAAAGAAAATTGACCAAATTACCGAGTACACCGCAAATTAAAACTGTAAGTGATACGAACAACATGTTTTCATATAAAAAAATATTTTTTTTGCACTCATAATCTATCACATATGTAATTCGTAAAATCAAATGAGTGAAAAGTTATTTGGCAGCATCTTGTAGAAAATGTCTGCAGTACCGTGACATCAATGCTATTGTACAAGAATGATTTTGTATTGGTTGGAACTGTCCTAAGCGAGATTTACCAAATAAGATTGCGCGATTTCGATATGAGACTTATTGTAACTTGTCATAACAGTTCCATATACTCCATTGTTTTTCCATGGTAAGATTAACAAATCGATAATGCGATTTTGAAAATCAATATAATAGTTTTTTTTTTAATGTTCTAGGAATTATTCTGAAATATTTGCAACAGCTGGAAAGAATGATATCAGATTGTGGAGATTAGAAACGCAAAAGGAATTACTTAGAATAACTGTGCCGAATTTTGTTTGCAGCTGTTTGTGTTTCTCTTACGATGGACGAATGATAATTTCTGGTAGATTTTTATACATATATATTTGGTCATAGTAATATCAGCAAATTAACAACACTTTTCTTCTATTTATTAAATTCATTCAGCATGGAACGATGGTATTGTAAGAGCGTTCACACCACAAAAGGGTAAACTTATTTTTACTATTCATAACGCTCATATAAAAGCAGCATCGGCAGTTGCGATAACAGCAGACGGGAAAAGATTAATCAGCGGTGGATGTGATGGGCAGGTAATTATTATTTTACACATTCATTATCCTCTTATATTCCTATTATATTCCTTCTTTAATATTGTCTATAGGTGCGTATATGGGACATAAAACCCGATGTACAGCGATTGGTCTCAATTTTAAAGGAACACAGAGGACCCATAACATCTTTGTGTATATCCTCCAACAACGAGGACTTGATTAGTTCTAGCACGGATGGTACATGCATAATATGGGACATAATGCAAGTATCAATTTTTAACTATTTACAATATTATTTGTTTTTTGGGATGTGACAAATTGATGGACAATAGATATTAATCAAACAGACGTTGCTCGAGGAAGCAAGTTTTAATGGGTAACACGATGTATATGGCTGCATGCTTTAGTCCCAACAGCATACAAATCTTGACTTGTGGTACTGATCGTAAGATTGCATACTGGGAAACATGGGATGGTTCGTTGGTTCGTGAAGTTGAAGGTTCCACCTCAGGATCATTAAATTGCATAGACATTAATCTTGATGGACAATACTTCGTCACTGGTTCAAACGATTGTATTGTTAAGCTCTGGGAATATCATACAGCCAATGTCACACACATTGGCATAGGTCATGCCGCGATAATAACTGCGTGTAAATTTAGCCCAGACGGGGAACATGTGGTATCCGTTAGTGCCGATGGCGCTATCATTATTTGGAAGTTTCCATTTAAGACGTCTCTTAAAACACCATCCATCAAATCGAAATCTACGACGGCACATACCGTTAAATCATTAACGAAATCTGAAGGGAAACGCGACGACGATTTAAAGTTGGACAATTTAGAGAAAGAACATGTTTCTGCTATGAGCCGTGTGGATGAGACTGCTGAAAGTGTTAGAACTATGTACCATGGTATTAACAAAATTAAAATTATTATTCATACGATTCAACGTATTTCGATGAATAAAGTAATTCTATTAAATTTAATATAAATATATCATAGGTGATGATCAGCCACAGCCATGTACGCGCGATCCAGCTGGTATACCTTCCCCAGTTTGCACGTGCATCAAAGACAAAGACACAATATCGGTTGGTACAATTAAATTCTAATTAAAATGCTAAATTTGATTTTATGTAAAAATAACATTAATTATGTTCTCTTAGTATACGACTTAATAAATATTTTGTATTTCAGGTAAGAACTGTGAAAACTGAAGTATCCTCTAATGTTTGTAGTCGCGCGAATAAGATGGAAAAAAAATCATTGCTTAGTTCTAAATGTAGCCCGGCAAAGGCAATTGAAACGACAAACTCCGTATCATCGTCTAGCCAACGCCGTGCGTCTCTGCAAAGCGATAAGAAATCTTTATTAAAAACGAAAATTACGACTGTACGAAAATCTTTACAATGAGGACATTTTATAATTATATTGGAGTAATAGTTTTTTACTAATACGTGTGTATGAATGTGTGTATTCGTGTTGTAACAAACGTTATAATTAATTTAGATGTACGCAACATTATGAGTTGCTAAACATATTATTTATCATTTGTCCTGAAATATCAGGAATAAGGAAAACTGCCATATCGTACAAAAGGAAAAAAAAAGAAGAGAGATGTAAGATTTTTTAGACCAAGTTTTTTTATGAAGCCTTTTGAAAGAACAATTATGTAACGTATCATTGTGCTCGTAGAAGTAACCATGTTTTTATAAAAATCTATATGAATAATAATTTAATTTTTAAACTCAGAAATATTGACAAATGGTTTTTGAGGCTATTTTAAAATAGACATATTTTATAAAACAGTATACCTGTGTCATTAGGTACATATTATTTTGGTTAGCAAAAAATTATAGCAAATAAAATCAAATTGTTTAGACCATACGATAAGAGAGATGAAATAAAAATCATATTCTTCGCAATATAGTTGTACGTATAATAATATATCACAATATGACCACAATCCGATAATTAACATCTTATAATAATAATTATATTAGGAATACAATACACATTATTAATAAATTAAATAGAATTATAAATAAATATATAAATATATACTTATTGTCTTAAATGCAATTTATGTACAACATGAGAAATGTGTCTTGTAAGCCTCTAAAAGAATTATATTGATCAAAATTTGTTACCCGTAATAAAATGATACAACAAGATGCTCAAACTTCAAACAGGAAGTTTACGATTAACCCCACGCTGGACTTTTGCAATAATGAATAATCAATTTTCCATCAGCTCCATAACAATCGTATAAGTTTTTTAACGTTTGATCTGGTGCCGGTGCAAAAGTTTGATTTACATAAAGAAACTGAAAAATACAAAAGAAAAATATGCAGACATAAATAAATGAGGTATAAGAAAAATGTGATTAAATATTTGATAGACTTACTAATCTTTCAGAAGGCTCTAATTTGAGATATTTCTTTAGAAAATCTGATACCTTTCCAATATGATAATCCTGATTAACGGACCATTTTTTTTGTTTCATGATAGGTGCATTGCCAGTTGCTTTCAATAAAATATCAACTGTAACTGAGCAATGAAATATTGTATTTGTTTAAAAGATTTATTTTATTAACAATAATAATAATTACCTCTTTCTTTATCTTTTGAAGCAACTGGGGGACTATCGTTTCTAGTAGTATTAGTATCCTGTGATATATTTTCCAAACTTGTTGGTGCTTCCTCATTTGCTGTGTTATCAGGTAATTCTTCAGTTTTTATAACCTCACTTGTCGTACTATCACTTTCCTTCTCAGCCATTATTTACAACTTATTATTAACTTAACAACTTAACTTATTAATAACTTAGTATAATAAATGAAACGACCACAGATAAATCATGAAATAGAATCGTGTATTGACTACGTCAAAAACACATTCGTTGTTCCTAATATATTTGTTGTTATCATATCATTATTAAACATTCGAATAACCTATGTTAACACTTAGAACCGCATTTGTATACTATTGTTAAATTTGAGTATGATAGGAATAAGTGCCATCTGTTATTTACCGGGAAGAGAAAGTATGTTATCTCGTTTATAAACAATAAAGCGAAATAAAGCATTGTTTCATCAAAAAAATATATCCAAAGAAAATAAAAATGAAGTATCTAAGATACATTTATTATTCGTAAAGTAATATTATAAAAAAAATATGAAATATATATTTTTATTCGATGTTTTAGTTGCGAAATACAAATGTATTCTTAATCAAATATTTAAATTTCCCACTAGAAACATGGCTAATCAAAAAGTTATTACTGCGCGTGCGCGGGTTGCTTGTAGCATTGAAACTACAAATTTGATAGGGAAAAGTATATGAAGTATACACAACTCTTTCAAGAACATCGTGAATGTGTGCATTGGGTTATCCTATATTATTTTTTAAATTATCAAACAAACGTATTTAAAATTGTGTTTAAAATACTATATTAATATTTATCTTTGATCTTTCTTTCTCAAAGAGGTAATATTTTAGATATATACTTTTATTCATTTTTAGTATTTAAGAATTACGCTGATGTACTGACACTACGAACTTAACCCTATTTATAATAAAGTATAAGAAAATTATAATAAAAGTATAATTTTCGTTATTTGTCTGGTTTTTAAGATAAAGTAATATATATATTTCATTTTCTTAATTGATTTCTTTCATTACATTAAATATAGTCATGTAAATATATTTTAGAGAAAAAAGTGCAATGTAATTGTCAGAAATATCTATAGTAAAGACACACACTATCATACATGCCATACACTTCATTTAAAATTTGTTTATATATTTTTATAATCACATATATTATTATTATTATTAAACAAATGTTTACTGATCAATAATATTATTTAAATAATATTACTGTTATTATAAATAGAAATCAAAATGCCAGAAGGAACAATGGATGGTGGTCGCATTATGAAAATGGAAGTTGATTATAGTAACAACTGTGATACAAAAATACCTGAATGTAAAAAGCTTGCTCGAGAAGGAAAGCTACATGATGCTTTAGATCAGTTGCTAGCATTAGAAAAACTTACCCGTACTGTATGTACGAATTTATTGAAAAAAGATTTGATTATCTTATATTCTGTGTAACCGAAGACACATAGTCAAGTATACATCATTTTAGGGAGCTGATATGACATCGACATCTCGAGTACTCGTTGCTATATGTGAAATTTGTTTAGAAGCTAAAAATTGGGCAGCGCTCAACGAGCACATAGTTCTTTTGTCAAAGAGGCGTTCTCAATTGAAGCAAGCCGTTACTAAAATGGTTCAAGAATGCTGTACTTATGTAGATAAAACTCCAGATAAAGAAACTATGGTTAAATTAATCGAAACTTTGCGTTCGGTTACAGAAGGAAAAGTAAGCTATTGACATAAACAATGTATAACATGTTAGTGACTATTTTTATTTATAGATTTATGTGGAAGTAGAAAGAGCAAGGCTCACGCATCGATTAGCAAAAATAAAAGAGGAAGATGGAGATATTAATGGAGCTGCCTCTGTAATGCTCGAATTACAGGTATTTCATTTAAAGTTAAAACAATACGCTCTATTTACAAAATAAATTTTTAATATTTTGTATTATACAGGTGGAAACATATGGCAGTATGTCACGCCGTGAGAAAGCTTCACTTATTCTAGAACAAATGCGTTTATGTTTAGCAAAGAAAGATTTCATGCGAACTCAAATAATAGCTAAAAAAATTAACGTCAAATTTTTTAGCGATGAAAATGACGAAGAAACACAAGCATTGAAATTAAAATACTACGAGTATGCAGTATTATTATCTATTTTTTATTTAAAAAAAATGATGTGACTTCATATGATTAAACTTTGGCCTTGATCATTTATTTTTTAGTCTAATGATGGAATTATCTCGACACGAAGGTTGGCATTTAGAATTATGTCGTCATAATCGAGCTGTACTCGAAACGCCAGCTGTTAGAGAGGATCCAGAAAAAAGACATACGGCATTATCCCGTGCAGTACTTTATCTTATACTTGCTCCTCATGAACCGGAACAAGCAGATTTGACTCATAGGCTGCTAGCTGACAAAATGCTTGATGAAATTCCTATATACAAGTATAATGAATAAATACTCGGATATTTTATTTCTAAATATTCATTTAAAATTCTGACAATTTGATAATACATTAATACTTTACAGAGAGCTTTTACGTCTTTTCGTTAATCCAGAATTAATTAAATGGTCTGGTCTTTGTGAAATCTATGAGAGAGAACTCAGAGCAACGGAAGTGTTCTCTGCATTAACAGAAGAAGGTCGCAAACGATGGGCTGATTTACGTAATAGAGTTGTCGAACATGTAAGTTTAACTCTTATATGCTTCACATATTTTAATTTTGTTGTTATATGTCTTATTAAAAACAAAAAATTATTTGTTCCTTTAGAATATTAGAATTATGGCAAAATATTATACCAAAATAACATTGACTCGTATGGCAGAGTTATTGGATCTTCCTGTAGAGGAAACCGAAGCATGCTTGTGCAATTTAGTTGAAACAGGAGTAATTAATGCGCGTACCGATCGTCCCGCTGGTGTAGTACGTTTTACAGGAAGTCAGGAACCAGCAGCTCTGTTAGATACGTGGGCTGCTTCCTTATCAAAATTAATGAGTCTAGTAAATCACACAACCCACTTGATCCATCAGGAAGAAATGCTCGCTGTTGCACAATCATAAAAACATTGATTGATATATTTGAATCTTACAAAAGTGTATCGTTCGATGTATTTATTGTGCCACAGATAAAATTTTATACACTATCGAACTTGGTTCTTTTCTTTTACATATACATATAAAAATAATTTATATCGGCAATTATACTTTCATTCTTAGAGAGTAGAAAAAAATTAGGATATATATTATATGGAAATTGAAAACAAAAAAGTTACTAGAAAGAAGGCACATAAAATAGTATGCAATAATCAGATAAAAAGACTAATTTAGAACATGTTTGTGTTCATTCGTCTAATTATTGTTTGTTTACTTAGCTTATTACAACTATCACATATTACATATAAGCGGTCGATAAAAATGATTTACTTTTTTTAAAGACTTACCTTTTTCATAGATGATCATCTGTATATTAATACAAAAATTCAACATACGAATATACTAAGTATAAATATANATATATCTGTGCAGTATTGTAGTTGGTCAAAAACAAAAAACGAGAAGAAAAGAGAAGAAAAGAAATTAAAAAAAATTAACAAAAGTAAATTTAACAAAGAAGAAAAATACTCTCTCTCTCTCTCTCTCTCTTTTTCTCTATTTCTCTCTATAATAATTAAGTATATTTTGTTGTTATTATTATATATACGCCGAAGTACAAATTCTCTCAGGGAAACGCGCGTGTGTATATATATATATATATATATATATATATATATATATATATAAATATATATTTTTTGCGCTAACAATCACGTTGAATATTGTTATAGAAATAAAAATTGCTAATAAGTTGTATAAAACAGTACACACGTACATATATACATTTATATATGAACGCGTTGTGATGGGTATTCAATTATTTCCTTGCAAGATTATTTCAACTAATTCAGTCATTATATAAAAAAATTAGTAGTGTAATGTGTCCATATCGCTTAATACGTGTGGTGCAAATTTACATATACCTTGGCAGTAACAACAAAAAGTACAAACGTACTGTTCTCATTTTACCAAATTGTTATTAATTGATATAAGTTATAACATTATATATTGCAAAGAAAAGGAACCAAAAAGAAAACAAATCTATCATTAAACTATATATCAAATTATCGGTAATAAAAATGCAGTACGTATTCTTTACCTCTTAATATGCATTCGTGTTATTTACATGTTTTTAAAATATTGTGATTGATAGATCTTGTATAAAGAAAATTTGGAGATAATAAAACATACTACAATTTTTATGCTGCTGAGATAGAGATATGAATTAATGTTATTTCATAATCATAATACATATGTATGTGTGTGTGTCTCTTTCTCTCTCTCTCTCTCTCGCTCTCTCTCTCTTTCTCTCTCTCTCTCTCTCTCTATTTGTGTTTTAACGTATATTATAAAAAATAAAAAAAACATTTCATTACCGATGAATTACACTATATATAAGTAAAACATTATGTCAATGAATATTTGAATGCACAAAAGTTGTCATTGTAATTTTCTAATATGCTTGCACAATAATAGCTGCTAATAAGAATTTATTTACATTGAAATGTAACCAATCATGCATATAATAATTAAAATGAGATACAGATTATGTGTCGATCAAAATCATAATTCTTACATAATTTTCTTTTTGTCTTTGTTAAGATATAACAAACGTTATTAATACTTTATTATCTAAGGTATAATAATTTTTCTTTTTTACGGAATAATACTGTCTAATATTTGTTGTCCTTTAAATAGGAATATGTGTGCATTTCTCGTGATAGTCATAATAATAATAATAATAATAATAGAATGAAAATAATAATAATAACAATTAAAAGTTCACATGCTCTATTAGTAATCATGATCTCTAATTATTTTAAGGCAGCAAAAGTCTTAATGTGTAACGCGAATTATAACCAGGTTAAATGTCTCTGTTCATAAATGTGTTTATGCGGCGTAATAACACTTTTCATCTATTTTTTTATGTGAAATATACTTAGTTGAACGTTTAAAAAATATAAGAAACAGAGAGTTAAAACGATATTAACTTGATTATAATTCTGGCTATGTATAATAAGGTCATACATATGAATGTATATGTATAATATAAAAATATGCTTCTCTCTTTCGTCTAGATACATATTACATACAATTGCCACATTTTATTGAACTTCCTGCTATTATTTTGACAACATGCATCAAATCAATGAAAATTCATACAAAAAAATTATAGTCGATAAAGATTGTAATGCTATTTTAGATTGCTAATCGAGGGGAGAGTTATTTGTCGTTTATCGGTTTTTTCTTTTTTTTATAAATATCTTGTATAGATTGTTTTTATCGGATATTGCACAGGTACTAAATTATATATACGTCTTTCACAAAATCTAATCGAAAATATATCTAATTAATAATAAAACAACATAAATATATAATAATAATTTGATTTAAAAAGAACTTAGTAAGAACTCAGTTGTTTGTGAAAGAAGTATTACGCTATTAAGTTTATAGCATACACACGGCTGACACATCAATGTGTATGCGTTTCATATAATAATAATAATACATTATATGAAATGTATGCACAAGTAAATATGAACGTTTATGCTATTCCATGCTATAGTATTGTGCAAATGATTTATTTTCTTTTTTTTTTTTTATTACTGTTATCATTTGTTTAATTACTCTGTATGCTACTGAAAAATTTTAAGGCACTTTGTCACTTGGAAGATACATTTTTTACATTTTTTTCCCTTTTTCTTTTTTTTTCTTTACCATAAAAATATTCTCCATTCCCTATGTTCCCACATTGACTAGTGCTTAGTACATCACAGCAAGCTTTTGCTTAAGTTCTTGCATTAGATGGTACACATGGCCTGCTCTATCTATATTATGTAAATACAATTCTATAAAAGTCAATAAGAAATATTCTGTACAAAGACAAGCATCTTGCAATTACAAAATTTGCAAACATTGAAGTACATTGCATTCTACGAAGCTATATATATCTATATATAATAGGTAGCTTCGGCAGTAGATACCGCATTAATATTATCTATTAATTGTAATGCCATACGTAATTACATTACAAGCATAATTAATTTTTTCTTATGTTCAATTTCTAATTATGAACATACAAAGCACTTTAAGTTCTCGTATTACTTATTACAACTACTACTGGTTCCTTTTGACATAGACTCGTTGTTTTAAAATTAGATAAAATCTACCACATTGTGCCAGCACGCACTATCATTCACTATTGTATATGTATATATGTATATACGTCGTATATCATATATATGCAAATTTGACACTGGCTAATTCAAATATTTGTAGAAAAAGAGGTTTACTAAATGCATTATGAATAGCAAATTTTATTTACTTTTCAAAAATTATTCAATGTATTAAGTATAAGCCTACAACCAGCACACAAACGAAATTACTTTGCTAATGTTTTTCTAATACATAATTTATTAATTAGCACCAATTTAATATATATGTATCCCATTCTTATGAAGTATTATAATAATAGTCAGTTTATGTACATTGTATCATTTCCCTCATTTTAAATGTAAGCCGCTGTACTTACATGTTTTCAGGAAAATATTGAATAAACTTTCTAATCGTGTATGGTTGGTTCCATCAAACTTCATCCTCGATCATATATATTTTATTAATGCTTTCCTAGCTGTGCGTGTTTGCATTATCTTTACAAATACAAGACAAAAACTAAGAAACTAAGTACACGATATTGGATTGCTTGTGCTGACAATAAGTACAGCTCTTAGTTTGATTAATTATTCTTTCTCGATAATTGTCCCGATAATAATTCATTATTAAAATGGAAGCCACTAATAACGATTTTATGTATATGTATATATATATAAAAGAAAAAGAAAAAATCCAAAACCAATTGGATTTTAAATTACCCTTGCTGATTCTAGTTCTCAGAATGCTTGCTTTGTGTTGATAAATTCGAAAGAGTATCAAACCGTATGAATAACTCATCCAAATGAGATACTGTTTGGCAACGAGAGATATACCAAAGAAGATCCTCTCGTCTTTGCTAATATCTTCACATAGGCCAAGTAGATTACCCTACAGGATTCAAAACGTACCTCAAGGTTTGCTACGTATATTCTCATTGACATTGATGGTACTGCACGAAACAGTTCCACAATCCAGTTTTGTATCTAACGAAATAAATAAAAAAAAAACATTACTACATAAAATATAAAATATAAAAAGCTAATCTAACTCTTTCTAAGGTATATCTCATTAAATTTACCATTGATACCAGCTTGTCTAAGAAGAGAAACGGCTTCGGCATAAGAAGGAGGTGGCAACTCATTGGATCCTTGAGCTTGCGTGATGACTTCGTAAGAAGGTGGTCCAGGTGTACCCATCCCGCTGGTACCGACGCTCGGGGAAGCTGCCAGTTCCTGTAAATGCTATTACAATGCTTTATAATTCATAATATCTAGAATTGTTAACCCTTTGAGTGGTGAATACTCTTGGCCGAAGCACTTCCTAGAGATGGAATATTTTATTATTTGTGTAAATTCTGTTCATCAATTATATTAAAGATAGCTAACAATAAATTATTCTCCCAAATAAAATAACGTAAGAAAGATTTTTTTTTTAGCATAATTTTTGTGGAATAAGATTAAACAATTATCAATATGCAACCTGAAATTACATTCTTTGTATTTTTATTAACAAATGTATCATATATGTGGCCACAGTTCATGCTGGTAATTTGTACCAAACGCACATATGCGTCTACAGCACTCAAAGGGTTAAAATATTGTATGTAATAATAATAATGAAACAGAAAGATCCTTGAATTTAAAATTATATGTTCGAGAATAATGATACAATGTTATTTTTATATTATAAGTGGTTGTTAATATTACGAGTCTATTGTTATCGAGCTTATCAAAACTCCTGTCTCACGAAATTCATTTTCATTTATGCGAATATGTATACATATATATATATATATATATATGTGTATTTGTAAAGTTGACTTTTTTTTTCATTGATTCATTGTGCGCAATATGCATGAATATACACAATAAGTAAATATATGTATGGAAATGTATGTATGCATGTGTATGTATGTGTACGTATTTACGTGTACATCGCGACATTAGTTAAATAAGTTTGCACACGATAGCAAATATAACTTGCGTTATATTAAACAAAAGAACAAAATTGAATTAACAAAGAAAGAAAAAGAAAGACAGATATTTATAATAAAAGAAAAATTAACGAATCTATTAATAAATGACAAGTTGATCATTTTAATTTACCTTTACGAACGCGGAAATGTGATAGATAAAGAATAATGATAGAAATAAATATATATAAAATAATGTCTTATTTACGTTGCTATAGGTTGAAAACAATTGGAATAATAATTCAACGATGTGCCCGTACAACGGATCGTTATCGCGGTAAACAAATAACCGCAATTATGCATGTAGATGTATATTATTTATATTTTTGCCTGCATGGGAAAAAAAATGCAATGTAAAGAGAAAAAAAAAAAAAAAAAAAAATGATAGAGAAGAAGAAAAA